CTACCTTCTTTATAATGCCATTAGATTCCAATCTACTTAGCTCATTTTCAATTTTATTCCTCATTGCATAAGGTGGAACTCTAGCTTTGCAGTATCTTGGATTTGTGTCTTTAATGCTTAACTTCACTGTTCTATCATTTAGTAATCCATGATTACCAAAAACACATTTATTTTCAGATATAACCTTATCTAGTGAAGTAAGACTAGATTCTTTTACATTCTTCAATGAACAAATACTCTCCCAATTTAACTTAAGATCACTTAACCAGTTCCTACCTAGTAATGGCGGTCCATTTCCTTCAACCACAAGAAGAGGAAGTTTAACACTTTGACCATTATAATTTACATGAACCATACACTCTCCTATTACCGGAACATTGTCACCAGTGTATGTTGTTAGACACTTGTGACATGGCTGTAGAGGCACTGATCCTCCTATGACAGCGTCAAAATCTTTCTTTGTTATGACTGTTAGAGATGCTCCAGTGTCAAGTTGGAAGCTGATGCTCTTACCGTTGATATTAACTTGTACATTGATGGGAGCATGACTTATTGATTTCACAGAGAACAGACTGAAATCCGGCTGCAAATCAGTTTGAGCATTTTCACAGGTAGAGTGGTTCATTGGTTGGGTTAGGTAGTCTTGGTGAGAGTTAACATAGTGCTGCTTTTGGTTGCGGTACTGTCTTGACTGGCTAGATTTAGCAACAGACGAAGACTTTGCAAAGCAGGCCTTAGCAATGTGACCTTGCTTACCGCACTTATAACAAGTTGCAGACTTGAACTTGCACCGATGAGATGCATGGGGACCTTTGCATCGATGACATTTTTGATAATTATTACTAGATTTAGATCTAGGATTTGAACGAGCAGGCTGTTTAGCATAAGTTGGAATGCTCTGATGGGGTTGATGTTTATTGACTAACCTGCTGTTTACTGCATGGATCTCTGAAGGCGTTAGAGATTTCGCCGCATCTGATGACTGCTGGAATGACATTGCAAGTTGTATTGCTTTTTCTAATGTTAGATCTGACTCGAGCAGCAACTTTCTTTGAATATCAGGGCTGTTTACACCTGTCACAAACTTTTCACATAGTCTGTCAGACAGCGTGTCTCCGAATTCACAAAATTCACTTAAATGACGTAAAGCAGCAACATATTCTGATATTGACTCGTTTGGTTGACGAGTCCTACCGTCAAATCTAGCTCGACATAGAAACTTTGATGGGGTAGGCGCATGGTGGTCTGTTAGCAATTTGCTCAGCTCGTTAAAGCTCTTGGTATCTGGACTAGCTGGTGCGCATAAGTCCTTTAGTAGCCTAAATTGTTGAGGCCCTATGACTGTTAACAAAATAGCTCTCTTTTTGGCTTCTATCGTCACGTTGTTTGCTTCTAGGTAAAAGCTTAACCTCTCTAGGTAATCTTGAATGATTTCATCATTCGCATCAAATTCTTTTATTTGGCCATACAGCGCCATAATTCTAGAAATAATTAGCTAATAAGCTCTAGCAAACCTCTTTTTTGCGTAAGTAGGTGCTCTTTCTAGTAGATGTTTATCCTTCGTCGCCAGTTATAATAGATTGACGACAGAAGCCTGTGGTTGTATATAACACGTTTAATGGGTCTAACTACCACGATGGTAACACACAGAGAGGACGGCAGGAAGTACACAAGGGACATCACTCAAGATAACAATATTATAAATATAACTAATACAGAAGAGTGAGTTCCCTTGACCTCACAATTATTTCAATCTATTACAACTTTTGTCCAATTTGTTCAACATTCGAACTAGCCAGAAAGATTTCATCCAATTTGTTCAACATTCGAACTAGCCAGAAAACTTTCATCCAATTTGTTCAACATTTGAGCTAGCCAGAAAACTTTCATCCAATTTGTTCAACATTCGAACTAGCCAGAAATATTTCATCCAATTTGTTCAACATTCGACCTAGCCAGAAAAATTCCATCCAATTTGTCCAACATTCGATCTAGCCAGAAAACTTTTGTCCAATTTGTTCAACATTCGATCTAGCCAGAAAACTTTCATCCAATTTGTTCAACATTCGATCTAGCCAGAAAACTTTCATCCAATTTGTTCAACATTTGAGCTAGCCAGAAAACTTTCATCCAATTTGTTCAACATTCGAACTAGCCAGAAATATTTCATCCAATTTGTTCAACATTCGACCTAGCCAGAAAAATTCCATCCAATTTGTCCAACATTCTACCACCAAACTTGGCAATGTTGTCTTTTAACTCCCATTACATCCGGTTGTTAGACGTTCAAATACCGTCTTCCGTCTGATTAAACCAAAACCTAACGACTACGCTTTCAGTCCAGGACGCCCCGACTAATTATTGTTTACATCCAGGTTTCACCTCGATATTTCTTCAGGCGGGAGTTCTCAGGAGTGTAAATAATTCTTCTAAAAATATTATATTTGGCACGCGACTTAATTAGAGATTTTAGGGCAATGATCTAATCAGTGCACCTGTACCTGATGGGTCGTTAACACGTTCGTTGTTGGACTTTACGTCCAGGTGTAGCTGCGAACACGTCCAGAAAAGGCAGTGTTTCTTCCAGACTTTTTTTCCACGCCCCCCCCCCCCCCCGAAGAGATGCCTAGAAGAAACTCTGTGTGTGGGAGAATCGTTGCCACATTGTGTGGGGACTCAAGTCTGAGACAGTTCGGATCGAACAATTTTCTTACGATTGGCATATAAGGAAATCTCTGTTGACAACACAATCGGAGTTTCTTTCAGATATCTCTTCTTAGCACGACCCCCCACCCCTCCCCGGAACAAAACAGAACAAAATATGTAATTTATATAGAAACAAATGTATTTTAACCAGTGTCCGCCCATACAATATTTAGTCTGCCCCACGCCTCCCTCGAAAGCCCCCCCCCCCCCCCCCCTCTCCCCCAAGAAATGAAGAAAACAGGCTCTTAGAAAATGCCGCTTTATGATGAGTTTTTGAAAACCCGGAAATAGAGTAAATTACCTGTTTAGATTACCGGAAATCTCTCATAGAAACCTACATTTAGTATTTTATATTTCTAGATGAACTTGCGTCCATCTGACAGAAACATTTACTTAGTTACTGTGTCCACGCGGAAATAGAAGAAAGTAGGCTACCACTTTCCTTTATTAGAATTTAGTCAAAGGTTGAGTAGACATACGTAGAGGATCTAATAGTTATTTATGAATTCTGCCTACCTCACTGAGAGGTAAGTTATCGTGTTCACACACACACAGACAGATACACGGACAGACACGATTGTAAAACTGGGGTTTTCTGACTAATTGAGATGTAAAAAGTTTGTCTAAAACGCGATTTCAGATGGGACTTTTTAAAGCCAGGGGCCGACCCCCCCCCATTCCTCCCCACCAAACCCCGCCTATATAAAGGGGCCGACCCCCCCATTCCTCCCCACCATCCCCCGCCTATATAAAGGGGCCGACCCCCCCCCCCCCCCATTCCTCCCCACCAACTGACGCCAATGTAAAGGGTTATCTAGGGGTTAGGATCATTTGTCAGTTAGTGTTATCTGTGTTTTCACATGCTGGTAGTTGCCACCTGTTGTAGCTCAACTTTCTACAGGGGTCAGAGGTCGGACACAAGGAGAGACACACACAGAGACACACATAAAGAAACAAGAAGGGCACTAGACAGAGACACACACAAAATGATACATACAGGCTCATACAGACACACTTACAGACACATGTACAGACACAGAAAGACATTCAGAAAGACACACGAACAGAAACACATACAGACACACTTACAGGTACATACAGACACACTTACAGACACATAAAGACACACATACAAACACACATACAGACACAGAAAGTCATTCAGAAAAACACACGTACAGAAACACATACAGACACAATTACAGACACACTTGCAGACACATACAGACACACTTACAGACACAGAAAGTCATTCAGAAAGACACGTACAGAAACACATACAGACACAATTACAGACACACTTGCAGACACATACAGACACACTTACAGACACAGAAAGTCATTCAGAAAGACACGTACAGAAACACATACAGACACAATTACAGGCACATACAGACACACTTACAGACACATACAGACACACTTACAGACACAGAAAGTCATTCAGAAAGACACCCTGGAGAGGGAGAAGCTAGTTTATAATGACAAAGGTCAAGGAGACTCGTGCATCAGGTATAACTTTAAAAATAAATCGCAATTAACATCTTATTAGAGAAACACATACAGACACACATACAGACACATGCAGACACACATAAAGACAACACATAGACACACACCAGGCACACACAGAGACACATAGCTAGATACAATCCAGTCGATCAAACACTATTATCTGTCAAAGACTGAGTGATGTTATCTAGTGTCTATGATAACTAGCGCTATCTTTTAAACATCAGCTGTTACTTAATGATCGGGAAAAAATTCATTTCGTTTAATGAACAATCAAAGCTGCCTTATCTTTGTATTACCCAATGATCTGATCGATGACAGGTACAGAAATATCCATTCGTATGGGATGTATAGTTATAGACAGAGAGAGAGAGAGAGAGAGAGAGAGAGAGAGACACTGACAGAGAGGCACACATATATACATAGTGAGACACACACGAATGATACACAAAGAGTGATACATACAGAAGCACACATAGAGAGACACAGAAGGTATACATATACAAACATAAAGACACACAGACACATAGAGAGACAAATAGATTTACAGAGAGCAATAGAGAAAGCCACACACAGATGCACACAAAAGACACAGAGAGAGAGAAACACAATCTCACACAGAGAGAGACACAATCTCACACAGAGAGAGAAATACAATCTCCCACAGAGATAGAGACACACAATCTCACACAGAGATAGAGACACACAATCTCACACAGAGACACATTCTCACACAGAGTCCCATGAGAGCCCACAGAAATACATAGAGGTACTCACTTTTTCGGAACACTCATATCCTCCCCAGCTAACTGACGTCAATTACGTCATGATATCACGTGACTCAGCCCCTCACACCAGCAGGTACAAGTCGATTATTGCTGATTACTGCCGCGATACCGTCACGTGACCTTATGACCTTGAGGCTGGAAGCACAGCGTGACCTTTGATCGTGACCGTGACCATGACTTTGTTGACTTCCTAGAAAAACATCCACGTTGTGTGTTCTGTCTCTCCAACACTAGCAGAGAGAATAAGACAGGTAAGAAACGTAAATTTAAAAAATCACACAAATGGCATACTGGATCAGCAGTGTACGCGAATCCAAGTCATCTCAATATGTATTCATGGTTGTATTAGATCAGTAGTGTAATCCACAACAAACATTGTCACATAAAATCGTTGCTGATGATAAAGCAGAAATGTCACATTTTTACAACTGTTTCGATGATATGAGTAACACGTTTTTATTTACATTACACACAGGTTCATAGGTCGTGAAACATAGCCCGCATATGGAATCGGCAGGGTCTTACAATGGGACATAACCTACATATAAACTAGACCTTAGGTCACGACCGATAACTCTGGCTAAGCATTGGTGATTTGGTTATTCATCATCACAGACGCAAAGAAGATTTGGGTAATGATGTCTTTACTGTGATGTCCACCACTCTGTCCATCCACACATCCATCCGTCCACCCACCCATCCGTCCACCCACCCATCCGTCCACCCACCCGTCCATCCACCCACCCGTCCGTCCACCCATCCGTCCACCCACCCGTCCGTCCACCCATCCGTCCATCCACCCACCCGTCCACCCACCCATCCGTCCACCCACCCATCCGTCCACCCACCCGTCCACCCATCCGTCCACCCACCCGTCCACCCACCCGTCCACCCACCCATCCGTCCACCCATCCACCCATCCGTTCGTCCACAACTGTCCATCCACCCACAGATGGATGCTTTTGAGTTCAAGATCGGATGGTGACATGTCAGGACAACCACCAATGTCAGACCAACCCCACGTGACATCCCACGTGACATCCCACGTGACATCCCACGTGACATCCCGATAACCTGAGCTCCACCAGCCGGTCAGGACTTGCGTCATAGAGTTATCAGCTTATCGGCCTTACAGCTCTATACAGCTCTCTATACGGCTCTGTATACGGCTCTGTATACAGCTCTGTATACGGCTGGATGTGGGAGCCGAAATGACTGGGCCAGATGGCGAGTCGTTATCTTGATTTAGTGGCCTTATCAGCTCGCTACAGAGGCATCAAGAGGCAGTCTCAGAAGTTACACAAAGATTGGGGGGGGGGGGATTGGGCGGTGACATGGGACCTGTATGGCTTGCGAGGTCAACTTGGGGAGTTGAATAAACAAAAGGTCATCGAATTTGCAAGTCAAAGGTCATCGAATAAGCATCTCAAAGGTCATCGAATGTGCAAGTTAAAAGCCTAACAACTTCCGGTTTATCACGACTCAACATTTTGTGCCAGCTGATCTTTTGATTGGTCAAACATAGATGCTACTCTAAGTGATGGTGCTACAAAATAAACCATTTCATCTTTGGTCGCTATCTCTGAGATCTGCCACCAAGTGTTGCATTCAGATGTCCCAATAGTTCTGTTGTGTGCAGAAATTATACCGTCCGTCACACACCCCAGTCTATTGACAACACAAAATCTCTCCCACCCCAGTCTATTGACAAAACAAAATCTCCCCCACCCCAGTCTATTGACAGAACAAAATCTCCCCCACCTCAGTCTATTGATAGAACAAAATCTCCCCCACCCAGTCTATTGACAACACAAAATCTCCCCCACCCAGTCTATTGACAACACAAAATCTCCCCCACCCCAGTCTATTGACAACACAAAATCTCCCCCACCTCAGTCTATTGACAGAACAAAATCTCCCCCACCTCAGTCTATTGACAGAACAAAATCTCCCCCACCCCAGTCTATTGACAGAACAAAATCTCCCCCACCCCAGTCTATTGATAGAACAAAATCTCCCCCACCCCAGTCTATTGATAGAACAAAATCTCCCCCACCTCAGTCTATTGACAGAACAAAATCTCCCCCACCCCAGTCTATTGACAACACAAAATCTCCCCCACCCCAGTCTATTGACAACACAAAATCTCCCCCACCCCAGTCTATTGACAGAACAAAATCTCCCCCACCTCAGTCTATTGACAGAACAAAATCTCCCCCACCTCAGTCTATTGACAGAACAAAATCTCCCCCACCTCAGTCTATTGATAGAACAAAATCTCCCCCACCCAGTCTATTGACAGAACAAAATCTCCCCCACCTCAGTCTATTGACAGAACAAAATCTCCCCCACCTCAGTCTATTGACAGAACAAAATCTCCCCCACCCCAGTCTATTGACAACACAAAATCTCCCCCACCCCAGTCTATTGACAAAACAAAATCTCCCCAACCTCAGTCTATTGACAGAACAAAATCTCCCCCACCCCAGCCTATAGACAAAACAAAATCTCCCCCACCTCAGTCTATTGACAGAACAAAATCTCCCCCACCCCAGCCTATAGACAAAACAAAATCTCCCCCACCTCAGTCTATTGACAGAACAAAATCTCCCCCACCCCAGCCTATAGACAAAACAAAATCTCCCCCACCTCAGTCTATTGACAGAACAAAATCTCCCCCACCTCAGTCTATTGACAGAACAAAATCTCCCCCACCCCAGCCTATAGACAAAACAAAATCTCCCCCACCTCAGTCTATTGACAGAACAAAATCTCCCCCACCTCAGTCTATTGACAGAACAAAATCTCCCCCACCCCAGCCTATTGACAGAACAAAATCTCCCCCACCCCAGCCTATAGACAAAACAAAATCTCCCCCACCTCAGTCTATTGACAGAACAAAATCTCCCCCACCTCAGTCTATTGACAGAACAAAATCTCCCCCACCCCAGCCTATAGACAAAACAAAATCTCCCCCCACCTCAGTCTATTGACAGAACAAAATCTCCCCCACCTCAGTCTATTGACAGAACAAAATCTCCCCCACCTCAGTCTATTGACAGAACAAAATCTCCCCCACCTCAGTCTATTGATAGAACAAAATCTCCCCCACCTCAGTCTATTGACAGAACAAAATCTCCCCCACCCAGTCTATTGACAGAACAAAATCTCCCCCACCTCAGTCTATTGACAGAACAAAATCTCCCCCACCTCAGTCTATTGATAGAACAAAATCTCCCCCACCCCAGTCTATTGACAGAACAAAATCTCCCCCACCCAGTCTATTGACAGAACAAAATCTCCCCCACCCCAGTCTATTGATAGAACAAAATCTCCCCCACCTCAGTCTATTGACAGAAAAAAATCTCCCCCACCCCAGTCTATTGATAGAACAAAATCTCCCCCACCTCAGTCTATTGACAGAACAAAATCTCCCCCACCCCAGTCTATTGATAGAACAAAATCTCCCCCACCCAGTCTATTGATAGAACAAAATCTCCCCCACCCCAGTCTATTGATAGAACAAAATCTCCCCCACCCAGTCTATTGACAGAACAAAATCTCCCCCACCTCAGTCTATTGACAGAACAAAATCTCCCCCACCCCCAGTCTATTGACAGAACAAAATCTCCCCCACCTCAGTCTATTGATAGAACAAAATCTCCCCCACCTCAGTCTATTGATAGAACAAAATCTCCCCCACCCCAGTCTATTGACAGAACAAAATCTCCCCCACCCCACGTCCAATGAAGGCAACCAGCCTATAGACAAAACCAAATCTCCCCCACCCCAGCCTATAGACAAAATCAACCCCCCCCCACCCCATGTCCAATGAAGGCAAATGCCATCGATCTGTTTGAGACGATGACGTCACGTCTGCAGACCCCAGTGACCGGACATGCTAAACTAATGGCCGTCCTGGTTCCATTCAGGAGGAATCTAATTGGTTAACTGAGTCCGCCGGAACTCGACGCTGGGGGTAGCCAGATTTTCACAGCACTCCCGGGGGGGGGGCTCCTAGTCACGTGGTGTTGTACAAACTATACCGGGTCACCATGACTTCCAACTATTATAAACTATATATATATATATATATATATATATATATATATATATATATATATATATATATATATATATATATATATATAAAATTATTGTCTGAGCATTGTATGGGGTGCCTATCTTGGAAAGCGGTAAAATGTAGAGAAATTTGTACCAAATTTTTCATCCTTCAAATCAAAATATCAGCAGTTCAGCTAAAATGAGAGGCAGTAAATCAAATCAGTGCTGTATAGCAATGTCTTATACCATCCCGCAACCATTTAACGCAATAAAGCAAACCATCTTATACATGTTTCGTGTGTTAGTATGTCCGTTTCATTGTGAGTGGCAATACGTGCTACTATTTTCTTCGGCAATAAACAATGGTTTTATTTGTTGTTTTTTTTCTCGCCAAATACTTTTGTTCAAAACATCTCCTAATATCTTGATTATGTTTCTTTTTTAGAAAATTTTTAAATTATACATCTCTCCAGCTGACATTTTACTAGAATGTTGGTCAAGAGTTTATAGAATGACTAAGAATTATATTCGAGGCCTTGGCAAATTATAAAAAAAAATCATTACCAATACTTTCTACTTTATTGGATGGGAGGGGGAACCCCATTCTATTCAGATGGTCAATATCATGTACATATATATATATATATATATATATATATATATATATATCTATATATATATATATATATATATATATATGAGAGAGAGAGCTGTATGCCCTCGAAAAGATGGCGATTAGACGTGAGTCAGGCCATGACTAATGCCCATATAAGGCACCAACAGACAGACAGCTGTCCCGGGGGTCAAGTGAATTATTTGTGCTCTGAGGGGAGTTCCGGCACCCGGCCCAGCAGTGTTCCGGCATTTCCGGTCCACTGTGCCGGCATTTCCGGTCCAGTGTGCCGGCACGTCTCTCCTAGTGCCGCTGATCAGACGAAATAAGTCCCATCAATAGGTGATAAGGGCCATTGTGTTTGTGGGGAGTGTTTGTGGGGGACTTGAGTGTTTGTGGGGGTGAGGGGAGGATTTGTTGGGGACTGTGTGAGTAAGTGGGGGGGGGGGGGGGGGGGGGGGTTAGCACTGATGTCTCGCAGTGTACGGCTGGGATAAAGGGTGATGTTGTACTCACATTAGGATAATTTGGTTGTGAGGTGGGGGTGGGGGCGAGTGCTAGCCAGACTGTGCGTGTATTGCTGCTCGAGGTTTTCTAAACGAACTTTTCTACACGCTAAAATAAAAATATTTTCTGTGAGTGGTGTCCCCTGTCACGCCGGGCATTATGCGCAGTGTTTCTTTCAGACATTTTTCTGTGGGGGGGGGGGGATTTTCCGACGCTGGTAAAAGTACATGAATATATTTTCTATATAAATTATATTTTGTCCGTGGGGTGTTGGAGAGGGGGATGAGCGTGTTTGGGGGTGGGGCGTGTGTAGTGCCACCACGAAGAAACTCTGTTGATGTAAACTTGTCTCGCTGCAACCACTGGTAGGACAACAAACAATATTTTGGTCTCCGATCGCTGAATCAGTAAATTCCCAGTTGAATCTCTATCTCATTACCACCTTCCCCAGTTTAATCTCTATCCCATTACCACCTTCTCACCAAACCATTAATATAAAACAATCTAATAATATAAATAATCTACATATGCATAATAGAATAAGGAATTTCCTAATCTATTCCGTCAACAAATCATAAATACAATCGGGAATTCCCCAAAAAAAAATTCCGTCATCAAAAGATTGATGGGTTAAAAAACCCTCCAAAATTGCAACCAACAGATGGTAATCAGCTGGGGGGGTGAGGGGGGCGGGGGGGGGGGGGTGACAGCATTGTATGAGGGCTTTATTGGGCTGTCTGATTAGATCTCCTTAAACTTTAACGACCCCCACCACCCCCACCCCAACTCAATAATCGAGTTCTTATTTGCTTAACGCGACAGTTCCAGAATCGATCAATGAGGTCATGATGACATGCTGACACCCAGGTTTCTCCCATCAACATGGCGGTTGTTAAAACCCGACTTGTTTCATGAATAATTCTCTGGCATGGGAGTCTCTAGTCCTGGTCCTGGTCCAGATAATCTCATGTCCTGTCCTGGTCCAGATAATCTCATGTCCTGGTCCTGTCCTGGTCCAGATAATCTCATGTCCTGGTCCAGATGATCTCATGTCCTGGTCCTGTCCTGGTCCAGATAATCTCATGTCCTGGTCCAGATAATCTCATGTCCTGGTCCTGTCCTGGTCCAGATAATCTCATATCCTGGTCCTGTCCTGGTCCAGATAATCTCATGTCCTGGTCCAGATGATCTCATGTCCTGTCCTGGTCCAGATAATCTCATGTCCTGGTCCTGTCATGGTCCAGATAATCTCATGTCCTGGTCCTGGTCCAGATAATCTCATGTCCTGTCCTGGTCCAGATAATCTCATGTCCTGGTCCTGTCCTGGTCCAGATAGTCTCATGTCCTGGTCCTGTCCTGGTCCAGATAATCTCATGTCCTGTCCTGGTCCAGATAATCTCATGTCCTGTCCTGGTCCAGATAATCTCATGTCCTGTCCTGGTCCAGATAATCTCATGTCCTGTCCTGGTCCAGATAATCTCATGTCCTGTCCTGGTCCAGATAATCTCATGTCCTGGTCCAGATAATCTCATGTCCTGGTCCTATCCTGGTCCTGTCCTGGTCCTGTCCTGGTCCTGTCCTGGTCCTGTCCTGGTCCTGTCCTGGTCCAGATAATCGTATGTCCTGGTTCTATCTATGTCCAGATAATCTCATGTCCTGGTCCAGATAGTCTCATGTCCTGGTCCAGATAATCTCATGTCCTGGTCCTGTTCTGGTCCAGATAGTCTCATGTCCTGGTCCTGTTTTGGTCCAGATAATCTCATGTCCTGGTCCTGTTCTGGTCCAGATAATCTCATGTCCTGGTCCTGTTCTGGTCCAGATAGTCTCATGTCCTGGTCCAGATAATCTCATGTCCTGGTCCTGTTCTGGTCCAGATAGTCTCATGTCCTGGTCCTATCTATGTCCAGATAATCTCATGTCCTGGTCCAGATAGTCTCATATCCTGGTCCTATCTATGTCCAGATAATCTCATGTCCTGGTCCAGATAGTCTCATGTCCTGGTCCTATCTATGTCCAGATAATCTCATGTCCTGGTCCAGATAGTCTCATGTCCTGGTCCTATCTATGTCCAGATAATCTCATGTCCTGGTCCAGATAATCTCATGTCCTGGTCCTGTCCTGGTCCAGATAATCTCATGTCCTGGTCCTATCTATGTCCAGATAATCTCATGTTCTGGTCCTGTCCTGGTCCTGTCATGGTCCAGATAATCTCATGTCCTGGTCCTATCTATGTCCAGATAATCTCATGTTCTGGTCCTGTCCTGGTCCTGTCCTGGTCCAGATAATCTCATGTCCTGGTCCTGTCCTGGTCCAGATAATCTAATGTCCTGGTCCTGTCCTGGTCCAGTTCTTTATGTAGTACCGCTAATCTCTTGTCATTAATCTAGTCACCGTCATGTATTTGGGAACATCAAGTCATATATTGTCAAGTCATAGAACATTAAGTCATAGACCAACAAGTTATCTGTAGTCAACTATTGCTGTGTTGTGTAACATGTTTTTAAAGTTTTTTCTGTCTTTTAAGAAAAATTTAATTTAAGATTTTAGCCTCAAGCTCAGACTAACCCTGGTCTAGCCCTAACTATTCCTAACAGGTTTCACGTTAAAGTATCGATACCCAACTCTTAAAATGGCTTCCTTGCACCTCCTTCCTCTTCCCGCCCCCTTGCAATCAGAACAGCATCGAAATTTCACTTACCTCCAACAAAATTCCACCAGTTAAAAAACAAAGTCTGGCACCTTCGAGGAATTCCTGCAGCTCGCCGGCAGAAAATTTTTAAATTTTTTAAAATCCTCTCTTAGTTCTAGCTCAAATCAACACTTCAATAATCCAGAATTGACATCTGATGTCCAGTATCCGCCGTCCGTGTGTTGTATGTGCAGTATCCACCGTCCGTGTGACAAGTATCCACTACCCGCCACCTGTGTTATGTGTGTCCACTACCCGCCACACGTGTGTTGTGTGTCCACTATCCACCATCTGCGTGTTGTGTCTCCACTATCCGCCACACGTGTTGTGTGTCCACTATCCGCCACACGTGCAATGAGTACCCAACGCAGTCGTCTGCCAAGAAAACAGCTCAGACGACGCTAGTGTCCACTAGGCCGTGGGGTGGCGTCTGGCTCCGACTGGTGGTGGGGGGGGGGACGCTTTTAGCATCCAGTGACGCGGTCTGCCTGGGGGCGCAGGGGGGATAACTCGAAACGTCTGGATACACAAATCGATCGTCTGTCCTTGTCGTCTGGCGTGGCTCGTGTTTTTTAAGTGGAGACTTGGGCTCGAAATCTGAAAAGTTAGATTAGACAAAATATGGGATTTTTGGTTGTTGACAAAATATGGGATTTTTGGTTGTTGACAAAATATGGGATTTTTTGTTGTTGACAAAATATGGGATTTTTTGTTGTTGACAAAATATGGGATTTTTGGTTGTTGACAAAATATGGGATTTTTTGTTGTTGACAAAATATGGGATTTTTGGTTGTTGACAAAATATGGGATGTTTGGTTGTTGACAAAATATGGGATGTTTGGTAGTTGACAAAATATGGGATGTTTGGTTGTTAACAAAAAATTTGGGATTCTTGGTCAATGTGTGAGTGTGTGTTTGTGTGTGTGTGTGTGCTTGAATATGTGTAGGCGTGTGAATGAGCGTGTGTATGCATGTGTGTGAGTATTTTGTTGTTGGAAAGAGTGTGTTTATGTGGGCAGGTTATTTTATTAGCTCGTCGTATCAAGACCCACTGTTAAAATACTCAAGCTAACACAAGTTTGGTTGGCTGGCTAAAGGCTAAATGATATACCGGTTAATGGCTTAAGCATTCACCGGATAACGGTTATATGTGCGTAAAACCAACGGTTAAATTTTAAACCGGTTAATGACAATTAAGACGCCAGTTAACCAGATCGACTGGCGTTGTGATGAGGCGCCAAAACAGGAAGTTCCAGAAATAGTGCCAGTATCCCTCCGCTCTGTATAGCGCCTCCACCCTCCCCTCGAGGGTCGACACCCAAACAGTGGATGTTGTCTTAGACCAGAGTTTCTTTCAGGCATCTCTTCGGGACCGCCCCCCCCCCCCCCCCCCCCGAACGAAATGAAATTTATAAAATTTATATAGAAAATATATACTTTTAACAGTGTCCGTCCCCCGAAGAAAGTCTACCGCCCCCCCCCCCCTGAAAATTTCAAGTCCCCTCCCCCCCCCTCCCCCCCCCCCCCTCCCCGGAGAAAAAAGTCTGGAAGAAACACTGCCTTAGACTACAACTCTACATGTATGGAGCCAGGCAATAGATGCCAGAAATAGAACCTCACTCAGTGCCTCACTAGGACACATAACACGGGAACTTGTAGGATCACGTGACACCATCGTGAGATGTGACAATAGATTGGGGGTAGGGGTGGGAGGGGGGGGGGGCTTTATGCCAGATCCCACATTTCAAATGTCCAACACATCCTTAGGAAAAAAAACATCGCGATGTAACCAAAGATTGCGGTGAGGGGTTGGGGGTGGGGTGGGGTGGGTCACTCTACCAGCTTAGGAAAAAACGTAATGGAGAATCGTGATTCTTGCGGTATCAATAAAAGAAATTTTCCAGTGATGTTTTTGCTCCTGGTTGGTGGTTGCTTATACACAGGTGGGAGGGGCGGGAGGGGTGGGAGGCAGAGGCAACACATCTGTAACACAATAACACAACACCACCTACAATATCAGACACCACCTACGACACCACCCACAATAATACAACAACACCTTCAATAATCCACTACAAAGAACCACCCACTAAGATGTTAATCCATCAATGAATCCAGGCATCAAACCGTGAAGCCGGCTTTTATCCTCGGAACTCTCTTGACAAGAGATAAATTAGCTCTCCTTGGGATAAAACACGTGCTCCTCAAGATTGAGTTAAGACTAGCATCGCTGTGAGCCGCCCTGATCGGATTGTGATTGTGTGATTGTACAGCCCCAGCCTCTAGGCTTGTCTGTGATTGTTCAATCCCCAGCCTATTGTCTTGGGTCTGTGATTGTTTAATCCCCAGTTTATAGGTTTGTTTGTTTGTTACTCCACAAAGCAAAGCTCCTGTTAACACCAACATTAAGCCTTGCATCTTACGCTGTGTATGGAAGTTTTCGTTATATAGCAAAACTGTTTGCTAACACAGTAAAAATGATAATACGTTCTTCCATAGAAAGATAACTAGACAGAATCAACGGATTAAAATGACCGTTAGTTGAACCTAACAAAAATACAATTATAACATCATCACAAGTCCGTGAAGCTATTACCGTTTATTCGAATCAATTTTTCATTATTATTTACGAGTGTTATAAACATGCATGAGTAATGGCCCTTTTTCGAGGCGAGGACTAGTTATTCCCCTTGGTAACGCTGTGAATAAATAAAAAAACTTCCTGCTAAAAACGAAATGTGTTTCTTCCACAGACTAAACACCGCGAATGTTTACGGTACGGCTAACCTAATAGATTTAAAGAACTCTCGAGCCCATTAGTCTAGTCTATCACGGTAGCCGATGGGGAGGTTCAGTGTCGGCAGTGGCCTTGACCTCTGTGTTCCTGGAGCCGGCAAATTAGAACAATGAGAAGTCAAGTAACGGCGGGCCACACAGGGAAACACCGTCAATACAGAGGCGTAGTTTCATCTTGGGACCGTACAGAGGCGTAGTTTCATCTTGGGACCGTACAGAGGCGTAGTTTCATCTTGGGACCGTACAGAGGCGTAGTTTCATCTTGGGACCGTACAGAGGCGTAGTTTCATCTTGGGACCGTACAGAGGCGTAGTTTCATCTTGGGACCGTACAGAGGCGTAGTTTCATCTTGGGACCGTACAGAGGCGTACTTTCATCATGGGACCGTACAGAGGCGTACTTTCATCATGGGACCGTACGGTTCTTTGTCTTCTTCAGAGATCAGAGGCTATTCTTGGTCGTTAGATGGTCACTATTCGACCATTTTCTAAGAGGCTATTCTTGGTCGATAGATGGTCACAATTCGACCACTTTCTTAGAGGCTATTCTTGGTCGTTAGATGGTCACAATTCGACCATTTTCTAAGAGGCTATTCTTGGTCGTTAGATGGTCACAATTCGACCATTTTCTTAGAGGCTATTCTTGGTCCTTAGATGATCACAACACGACCATTTTCTTAGAGGCTATTCTTGGTCCTTAGATGATCACAACACGACCATTTTCTTAGAGGCTATTCTTGGTCCTTAGATGATCACAACACGACCATTTTCTTAGAGGCTATGATCACATCACGAGATGAAATTGTCTCCAGTAATTAGTTTGAGAGTATGATTAAAGTAGAGTTTTAACAATTTTGTCGTGGTTTTCATTCAGGAGCTTTTTGTCGTTAACGCGAACTGATCAAATTCTTAAAGTCTTTTTAAATTTATTTTAACCGCATATTTGTTAATAATTGAGTCGGATTTCAATTTCATACCATAAGATCATTTGTCACCATGCTACTTCATTGGGCTATTGATCACAAATTTAGATTCCGTTTGACGTCTTTATTTATGGTATGTTTATTTGTAACATCACACAACTTCGATGCAGAGTTTCTTCCAGGCATCTCTTCGGGGGGGCGAAGCCCCCCCGAAAAATTTTTACCGCCCCCCCGAACGAAATGAAATTTATATAATTTATATGGAAAATATATACTTTTAACAGTGTCCGCCCCCCCGAAGAAAGTTTACCGCCCCCCCGAAGATTTCAAGTGCCCCCCCCCGGAGAAAAAAGTCTGGAAGAAACACTGCTTCGATGTGTACACCATCAGGAATTACACAGCCAAAGATATGCTTCACGATGAATCATTCACGTTTAATACTGTATCTCCAAATATCCCAATTCGCATTTAATACTGTATCTCCAAATATCCCAATTCAATTCTGTATCACCAGTTATCACACAAATTAACTGAACTACTAATTGTAGCACCCTACTGTAATATTTGTTTTAGAACACTGATGCTACATTGTGTGTGCTACATTGTGTGTGCTACATTGTGTGTGCTACATTGTGTGTGCTACATTGTGTGTGCTACATTGTGTGTGCTACATTGTGTGTGCTACATTGTGTGTGCTACATTGTGTGTGCTACATTGTGTGTGCTACATTGTGTGTGCTACATTGTGTGTGTTACATTGTGTGTGCTACATTGATGAATTCATTTTTAAGCACTACCTGCTGAACTAGCCACATACCTTTATATCCTAGCCGTTACAAATATCATAGTTTACAACACAACTATCCACAAACCTTTATTTATATCCTAGCAGTTACCAGTGTTTCTTCCAGACTTTTTTCTCCGGGGGGGCACTTGAAATCTTCGGGGGGGCGGTAAACTTTCTTCGGGGGGGCGGACACTGTTAAAAGTATATATTTTCTATATAAATTATATAAATTTCATTTCGTTCGGGGGGGCGGTAAAAAATTTTCGGGGGGGCTTCGCCCCCCCGAAGAGATGCCTGGAAGAAACTCTGGCAGTTACAAATATCCATCTACCTTACACCACATTGCCTAGATTCGCCGAGAACACAACCTTAAGTCCTTAAGGTATCGAGGCCATTGAACACACAAGTCTTAAAGTTACGTCAATATGTACCGCTTCGGCTAGCTATCGTATCGATCCTGCAGGTATCGAAATCACCCATGTAACTGAAGTCGAGTCAGAATGTTGCGCAACACTTACGTTTGGTAGATCAAAATCCTGGTCTAGTGGACGGTTGGAGAGGACTTGACGGCCGAATAGACGGTTGGAGAGGACCTCAGGACCAGATAGACGGTTGGAGAGGCATGTGGACGGTGGAATCACTCTTGTGGGCGGGGTGGGAGATGCGCGTGTTTACCTGAGGCGGGTTGCGTGAGTAGCTTGGCGCGTGAGTGACGGACTGACATTCCAGGCCGTGCACATCTCATAGGTGAGTGCTCACTGTCTGCAGGGGGGGAGGGGGCAGATAGCCGGGGTTTGTAGGTTGGTTAAAGCACAAACAGCAGGACAGCAAAGACAGCAATATGAAAGCAGCTAGGACAGCAATATGACAGCAGCAACAACAGAAAGATGACAGGCCTTGTGTTTACACCATGAACCTGTGGCGACTTTTGACCTGTTATCTCTGACCCCGTTCTGTGACCTCGACCCACCAAATACCACATCACCATCATCACCCAACTTAAACACCAACCATCACAACACCCAACTTAAACACCAACCATGACATCACATCACATCACCATCATCACCCAACTTAAACACCAACCATCACAACACCCAACTTAAACACCAACCATCACAACACCCAACTTAAACACCAACCATCACAACACCTAACTTAAACACCAACCATCATATCACCATCATCCTCAACCTAAACACCAACCATCACATCACCCAACTTAAACACCAACCATCACAACACCCAACTTAAACACCAACCATCACAACACCCAACTTAAACACCAACCATCATATCACCATCATCCTCAACTTAAACACCAACCATCATATCACCATCATCCTCAACCTAAACACCAACCATCACAACACCCAACTTAAACACCAACCATCACAACACCCAACTTAAACACCAACCATAACAACACCCAACTTAAACACCAACCATCACAACACCCAACTTAAACACCAACCATCATATCACCATCATCCTCAACTTAAACACCAACCATCATATCACCATCATCCTCAACTTAAACACCAACCATCACAACACCCAACTTAAACACCAACCATCACATCACCCAGCTTAAACACCAACCATCACAACACCCAACTTAAACACCAACCATCACAACACCCAAGTTAAACACCAATTATCACAACACATCACCCAACTTAAACACCAACCATCACAACACCCAACTTAAACACCAACCATCACAACACCCAAGTTAAATACCAACCTTCACATCACATTACCATCACCCAAGTTAAACACCAATTACCACATCACATCACCCAAGTTAATCACCAACCATCACAACACCCAACTTAACGACCACTGCCGCCGTATCTCCCTATATAAGCAACCTTATGTTTACCAGCCTAGCACTTACCTCAGTGCTCACCCTTGACGAATGTACAAGTCACATGGCGAGGATTTAGGGGTGAGCTTTTATCTCACCCTTTGAAAACTGCTCAGTTCATTTGTCCCTGAGTTTGTCCCTCGTGTTCCCAGGGAAACACTGAGATGAAAACAGATCATTTTCCCGGGGACATTTATCAAGTTTATTGAGTGCGTTGTGGCGCCGAGGCAAATTATTCCACCTGAGTTGATGGGAGGGGGAAGGGGTGGGAGGGGGAGGGAGGGGGAGGGAGGGGGAGACTGCAGTACAGGTGAGTTCAGCGCTCACTCTTAAACTTGTTCTGTAGCGTCTGGGGGTGGGGCGGGGTGGGGTAAGGGTAGAAAAGTGTAGTGGTGGGGGTGGGGTGGAGAAATAATATTCGGATTCTGTGGAGTGATAACAAAGATAACAAAGATAACAAAGATAACAAAGATAAATAAGGTAAAGCTTTAATCACATGTCAAACTGTTACAGCTGGTGGGTCGGTGGGTAGCAGCTTACTGAAGGTCAGGGATTCTTGAAGGTCACATATTCCTGAAGGACACAGCAGCTTTCTGAAGGTCACAGGTTGTTGAGGGTCACGGCTTTTTTTTAGTGGTGAGGAGCTTCATGAAGGTCACAGGTTCATGAAGGTCACAGGTTCATAAAGGTCACAATTAGTTCCTATTTTCAGTGGGTAGGAATGAAGGTCACTTATTAAACACAAACATGGGGTTCGCCGTTTAGCCTAAAAAAAATTCCCCCTGTCAAATCTATTTTTAAATTCGGTTTTTTAAAACACTTGTAATGAAATTAGGTCAAATCTTCTCGTCTGCGGCGTCTACGTCACTTCCGTTCGGATGTTTATCACACTATCCAATTCAAATCGTCTGCATCACTCTAAACATTGTGATCGTCTGCACGAACTGGAGAAATGTAGGACTGAGGGTCAACTTTTATGGGTAGGTTAACATTCCAGGTCAGCTCAAGCTTCACGTTATATTACATCATTGTGTTTTTACATCTCAAGACAATAAAACATCTTATCATGTTATATTACATCATTGTGTTTTTATATCTCAAGACAACAAAACATCTTATCACGTTATATTACATCATTGTGTTTTTACATCTCAAGACAACAAAACATCTTCTCACGTTATATTACATCATTGTGTTTTTACATCTCAAGACAACAAAACATCTTCTCACGTTATATTACATCATTGTGTTTTTACATCTCAAGACAACAAAACATCTTATCACGTTATATTACATCATTGTGTTTTTACATCTCAAGACAACAAAACATCTTCTCACGTTATATTACATCATTGTGTTTTTACATCTCAAGACAACAAAACATCTTCTCACGTTATATTACATCATTGTGTTTTTACATCTCAAGACAACAAAACATCTTCTCACGTTATATTACATCATTGTGTTTTTACATCTCAAGACAACAAAACATCTTCTCACGTTATATTACATCATTGTGTTTTTACATCTCAAGACAACAAAACATCTTCTCACGTTATATTACATCATTGTGTTTTTACATCTCAAGACAACAAAACATCTTCTCACGTTATATTACATCATTGTGTTTTTACATCTCAAGACAACAAAACATCTTCTCACGTTATATTACATCATTGTGTTTTTACATCTCAAGACAACAAAACATCTTCTCACGTTATATTACATCATTGTGTTTTTACATCTCAAGACAACAAAACATCTTCTCACGTTATATTACATCATTGTGTTTTTACATCTCAAGACAACAAAACATCTTCTCACGTTATATTACATCATTGTGTTTTTACATCTCAAGACAACAAAACATCTTCTCACGTTATATTACATCATTGTGTTTTTACATCTCAAGACAACAAAACATCTTCTCATGTTATATTACATCATTGTGTTTTTACATCTCAAGACAACAAAACATCTTCTCACGTTATATTACATCATTGTGTTTTTACACCTCAAGACAACCAAACATCTTCTCATGTTATATTACATCATTGTGTTTTTACATCTCAAGACAACAAAATATCTTATCATGTTATATTACATCATTGTGTTTTTACATCTCAAGACAACAAAACATCTTCTCACGTTATATTACATCATTGTGTTTTTACATCTCAAGACAACAAAACATCTTCTCACGTTATATTACATCATTGTGTTTTTACACCTCAAGACAACCAAACATCTTCTCATGTTATATTACATCATTGTGTTTTTACATCTCAAGACAACAAAACATCTTCTCCCTGCACGTCATGAATTCCATTTGTCTGCATCAAACCGCCAGACAAATATCAGAAAATGTTCACCAAGCACTCCCCCTTCCCCCCCCCCCTGTAAGTTTCCAATAATGTCAGAATACTTCAAAATCCCAGCCAAGTTTACCCTGAAATACCTCAATATACAGCCAAGTTCTCCTTGGGCAGACATTGAGCAGACATTGAGCAGATATTAAGCAGACATTGAGCAGACATTGAGCAGACATTGAGAAGACTTTGAGAAGACATTGAGCAGACATTGAGCAGACATTGAGCAGACATTGAGCAGACATTGGCAAGACATTGATCAGACATTGAGCAGATATTGAGCAGACATTGAGCAGACATTGAGCAGACATTGAGCAGACATTGGCAAGACATTGAGCAGACATTGGCAAGACATTGAGCAGACATTGGCAAGACATTGAGCAGACATTGGCAAGACATTGAGCAGACATTGAGCAGACATTGGCAAGACATTGAGCAGACATTGAGCAGATATTGGCAAGACAATGAGCAGACATTGGCAAGACAATGGGCAGACATTGAGCAGCCATTGAGCAGACATTAAGCAGACATTGAGCAGACATTGGCAAGACATTGGGCAGACATTGAGCAGCCATTGAGCAGACATTAAGCAGACATTGAGCAGACATTGAGCAGACATTGGCAAGACATTGAGCAGCCATTGAGCAGACATTAAGCAGACATTGAGCAGACATTGGCAAGACATTGGGCAGACATTGAGCAGCCATTGAGCAGACATTAAGCAGACATTAAGCAGACATTGAGCAGACATTAAGCAGACATTGAGCAGACATTGGCAAGACATTAAGCAGACATTAAGCAGACATTGAGCAGACATTGGCAAGACATTGGGCAGACATTGGGCAGACATTGGCAAGACATTGAGCAGACATTGGCAAGACATTGAGCAGACATTGGCAAGACATTGAGCAGACATTGGCAAGACATTGAGCAGACATTAAGCAGACATTGAGCAGACATTGGCAAGATATTGAGCAGACATTGGCAAGACATTGAGCAGACATTGGCAAGACATTGAGCAGACATTGGCAAGACATTGGCAAGACATTGGGCAGACATTTGCAAGACATTGGGCAGACATTGGGCAGACATTGGCAAGACATTGAGCAGACATTGGCAAGACATTGAGCAGACATTGGCAAGACATTGAGCAGACATTGGCAAGACATTGAGCAGACATTGGCAAGACATTGAGCAGACATTGGCAAGACATTGAGCAGACATTAAGCAGACATTGAGCAGACATTGGCAAGACATTGAGCAGACATTGAGCAGATATTGGCAAGACAATGAGCAGACATTGGCAAGACAATGGGCAGACATTGAGCAGCCATTGAGCAGACATTAAGCAGACATTGAGCAGACATTGGCAAGACATTGAGCAGAGATTGGCAAGACATTGAGCAGACATTGGCAAGACATTGAGCAGACATTGGCAAGACATTGGGCAGACATTGAGCAGACTTCTACCAGAAAAAAAAATGATGGCTAGTTCAGTTTTGTTTAACCCTATCCTTAACCCTAATTCGAAAAGGTCCACGGATTAATGATGCACTTTAAACAGGCTGTATCTTTTACCACGTGAACGCCTACCCACGGGCGTGGGGGTGGGGATAAGAGGGCGAAAGGGTAAAGATGGGCGTGGTTAGCCTAAAAATAAACATGTAAACAAAATCTTGAAATTCTTCAGGAAACAAGTGCAGCCATCTCTTCTAATTAACCTAATTGTTTGCTTTTTTTTTTACCGGCGGGGAAGTTCGGTGATGCCGGCTCCCTGACTGTGCCGGTCTCTGAGCCGGTCATTTTTTTTAACCGATTCACTGTTTATTCTTGTGCGAACGTTCTGGAAATCACAGTCTGGAAAACACATCAAATAGAGGCAACACGTTTCTAGAGAGAAATAACAAAACCTTTTGCCCTCAAGGTGCCGCTGCTCTTTCACGTCACTTTATCTCCAACACGGTAAATATATAAAACTATCCTTAACAAATTTCAATTCGAAACAAAATTGTGAATGTCTTATTTGGAACGAAAAAATCAAAGAAAAAATAGAGTTTCCGCTGAAATGTAAAAAAAAAATAACGTGTTATTTTGTTCCTTTTGTGTATAATGTGATTCTGAAGTCCTCCATATCTGAGTTCATAGAAATATTTCCAGATGACCCAAAGTCTCTTCTGTTTTGGTGGCTTAAAACTGCAGACTAATCAATCGCAACTTTGATCTTCACAAAACAGTTTATTTATGTAAAACAAAAACAACCACCTTCTTTACCAGCGTATTTAAATAACGAAACAATCGATACAACCACACTGTTAGAATAATATACATCAAACATCCTTCTATGTTATATAGTTTCAAACTTCTGACAATTTAGCATTATATTCTGACGTGAAAAGCAAAGCCTAGTCGCAAATTTTCGTTGAACTGAACAAAGAACAGACAGCAATTAGTCAACTGTCACAGCCCAATGATACACCCTAATGAAGTTTAATAATTTTCGAATTGAGTTCAGATTCTAACTAATGGCAGTTGTAGCAAAATATTTTAATGTTAAGTGTTTATTATTATGGTAGCTAAGTATAAACAATGGTTGCTAGGCAAAACACGTGGCCGGTTGGGTACGTAAACGATTAAAAGAAAAAAGTCTCAGAAAAAAAAGTCACAGAAAAAAAGTCACAGAAAAAAAAAAGTCACAGGAAAAAAAGTCACAGAAAAAAAGGCACAGGAAAAAAGTCACAGAAAAAAAAGTCACAGAAAAAAGTCACAGAAAAAAAGTCACAGAAAAAAGTCACAGGAAAAAAATTCACAAACTTGTATTTGCATGAAAGTTGTTAACAATCGGAATCCATAGACAAATACATGTAGGTTCTAGACAAGAAATGAATTTTAAATGTCATATATTGTATATTTCTAAAGGCACTGAGCGAATCCTCTACCCTCATTCCCTCAATCCTTGTATGTAAACAACCGGACACCTGTGTGCAGTATCGGGTAAATGTGGGCTTCTCCCTCTAGCCGCGGGAACCAGACGATAAAGAGAATTGTTCCCTGCAATTACTTCGTCTCGTCTTTTAGTTTTCTGCTGAAAACTTGACACCACGTGGCATAAATGTTTCTGTGAAAACTTGACACTTTTGAAAACAAATTTCGCAGTTGCGTTTAAGTAAAGTGAACGATGCAATCAATTCCTAACACAGAGGGGGGGGGGGAGGTCCAGCTAGGCGGACGAAGAGGCCTTACTTACAATGGGATACGTTAAGTTTGACGGTCGATGAGGCCTTACAATGGGATTCGTTCAAGTTAGACGGTCGATGATGCCTTACAAAGGTGAATTGGCGGGAAGCCCCAGGCGTGGCCGATTGGTTCGATCCACACGTCTTCCATAGACTGCCTGATAGACCTCCTAAACTAGAATTACTACGTTAGGAAGCAGTTTTGATAGGGGATAGCTTTGATTGGATATAGATCTAGGCCTAGTTTTGTTGGGAGGTAGTTTTGTTGGGAGGTAGTTTTGTTGGGAGGTAGTTTTGTTGGGAGGTAGGTTTGTTGGGAGGTAGTTTTGTTGGGAGGTAGTTTTGTTGGGAGGTAGGTTTGTTGGGAGGTAGGTTTGTTGGGAGGTAGTTTTGTTGGGAGGTAGTTTTGTTGGGAGGTAGTTTTGTTGGGAGGTAGTTTTGTTGGGAGGTAGTTTTGTTGGGAGGTAGTTTTGTTGGGAGGTAGTTTTGTTGGGAGGTAGTTTTGTTGGGAGGTAGTTTTGTTGGGAGGTAGTTTTGTTGGGAGGTAGTTTTGTTGGGAGGTAGTTTTGTTGGGAGGTAGGTTTGTTGGGAGGTAGTTTTGTTGGGAGGTAGTTTTGTTGGGAGGTAGTTTTGTTGGGAGGTAGGTTTGTTGGGAGGTAGGTTTGTTGGGAGGTAGTTTTGCACCAGCACATGTGCCCTCTATCCTCCTCCCCCACAAGACTACTGTTTCTCTCCTTCCTTATAAAATGTTCCAAATGTTTTTCCGGCGTTACCGGAAGAGCCACTTTTAAAGCCACACAATCTGTTCAGCGTGTAGTTGTTGTTTTTTTTTAATCGCTATTATAATTTTGTTTTCCACTAGAATTTCACAACATGATTTAGCCATCAAACTGTAATAGAATTCAACGTTTTAAAACATGCTTTAACCATTAGGGGGTGGGGGGGGGGGGGAGGGCAGCTGGGAGTCAACATTCAAGGCAAGTGCTTTTTTTTCAGGCTTCATACAAATTTATATTAAAAAATAATAAACTTTAACCAGTGTCCGCATTTATCCATCCAAATATTTAAGACCCCCACCGAAAGTTCTTTAGTACACCCCACAGAGAAAAATGTCTGAAAGAAACAATGCTAGGGTGTCGACAAAGGGGTGGATTATGATGAAAGAATAGTATTAGTGTCACATTGTAAAACTGTGTGCCAGAGTTATCCTGTAAGGTTTAGAAAGACGTCTGGCGTATGACGTAGTTGGCATCGCAACATTCTCCCCCCTCCTCCCATTGACCAAACATTGACATGTGTCTAGGCCAGTCCATTGACCAAGCATTGACATATGTCTAGGCCAGTCCATTGACCAAACATTGACATGTGTCTAGACCAGTTCATTGACCAAACATTGACATGTGTCTAAGCCAGTGCATTGACCAAACATTGACATTTGTCTAGGCCAATCCATTGACCAAACATTGATATGTGTCTAGGCCAATCCATTGACCAAACATTGACATGTGTCTAGGCCAGTTCATTGATCAAACATTGACATGTTTCCAACTCATTGGACACACCATTGACAAATGACCGAGAAAGTTCATTGACCCAGCCTTGACCTTGAGGCTGTGGACCTTTTACCTGACACCCAACCTGAGGAGATTGATCAGATTTCACACCCGACTTCTGTGTGGAGTTGTACTCCGATGACTCATTCTATTGACTGTAGGGTACGGCTATCCTAACTGTACTTGGGTGACTCACTATTCACTGTAGGGTACGGCTAACCAAGTTGTACTTGAATGACTATAGACTAGCATCCCCCTTATGCTAAACGTTTAACAAATATTTCTTGAACCGTCGTTGTTTAACCATCATTAAAAGATATTTTAATTGAGCATTAGTTACTCAATCCAATGCATTTCTGGTGATGTTCTATGTTAACATATCTTCTCATTAAATATGTATTGCTTTTGATTTGATAATTTATAAATAGACTTTTAATTAATTGTGTGAGAATAATTTATTTCAATCAAAGTTTTTTATAAATATAATATGTTTATTAGAAAAATAGGAAAGAAAACCATTCGGTTTCACTACAGATAGCTGGCCCTCCACATAGTAGCTTAGTGCCTTAATAACTTTAATGTGGCATTTGATTTGTCCTTTGTAATGATTTAAGAGACTGAACTACACAAGATACAACGGTCAAAGGTAAATAACTCATTTTATTTTAATGTACTTAGATTCGGTTATCTACCCTAAAGGTTACTGCCAGGTAAAGTAAAAAAAAAACATGACAAGAAACGAAACAAACATCACTCCAAAACGTATTTATTTAAAATGCTTTTAATTGCCCTCTTGTTTGTACTGTTGGGTATTCAGTTTTGTTTTCCCTGGATTGTCCTGAAATTTAAAAAAAAAGCTTTGTCAAACAGTATAGGGCACATATTGTGCAACACAAAAATAGGACATTTTGATAAATCACGTATCCCACCTTACCAATGTAGTTATTTCCCTTTTAGAATTAACAAAATTTAACAAAATGATAAAAGGGAGCCAGCCCATATTTTTTGTATCAATGTGCCTATTGTTAAACCTAGACCTAAAATTAAAATCATAAACCTAGACCTAAAATTAAAATCATAAACCTAGACCTAAAATCATAAACCTAGACCTAAAATTAAAATCATAAACCTAGACCTAAAATTAAAATCATAAACCTAGACCTAAAATTAAAATCTTAAACCTAGACCTAAAATTAAAATCATAAACTGTGGTCAAATAAAAGAATTATAACTCGAGCACTGACACACTTTAAAATGGAGCGAGTAAGTTTAATATAAAGTACAATACAAACCACAGCCTTGACAAAGTCCTTCAGGACCACAAATGGCTGAAACTTTATATCCGAGAGGGCGCTGATGTAGCATTTGGGGACAAGTTCTGTTACAGGGACAGGCTGTCTGGTAGAGGCAGGCTGTTTGTTGCAGGAAGGCTGTTTGGTACAGGCAGGCTTTTTGGTACAGGCAGGCTGTCTAGTAGGGGCAGAATCTCTAGCAGGGGCAGAATCTCTAGCAGGGGCAGAATCTCTAGCAGGGGAAGAATCTCTAGCAGGGGCAGAATCTCTAGCAGGGGCAGAATCTCTAGCAGGGGCAGAATCTCTAGTAGGGGCAGATTTAGATTTAGCTGTTGAAACAATTGCAAGCATGTCTTACATTACAATGAAATGTCAGTGGTGTCTAAAGTTAATCATCTTCATTATGCTATTGCCAATATTGCTCAAAGTTGGTTATTCCTGCATGTAGATGTACAAAACAGACACAAATTTAGACAGGACTTATTTAAGAACCTATTTTTAGCTTTATTCTACCTACCACCCTGAACCTGTTCTACCTAACATCATGAACCTGTTCTACCTACCATCCTGAACCTGTTCTACCTAACATCCTGAACCTGTTCTACCTACCATCCTGAACCTATTCTACCTACCATCCTGAACCTGTTCTACCTACCATCCTGAACCTGTTCTACCTACCAAACTCAACCTGTTCTACCTACCACCCTGAACCTGTTCTACCTACCATCCTGAACCTGCTCTACCTACCATCCTGAACCTGTTCTACCTACCATCCTGAACCTGTTCTACCTAACATCCTGAACCTGTTCTACCTACCATCCTGAACCTGTTCTACCTACCATCCTGAACCTACCTACCACCCTGAACCTGTTCTACCTACCATCCTGAACCTGTTCTACCTACCATCCTGAACCTGCTCTACCTACCATCCTGAACCTGTTCTACCTACCATCCTGAACCTGTTCTACCTAACATCCTGAACCTGTTCTACCTACCATCCTGAAACTGTTCTACCTACCATCCTGAACCTGTTCTACCTACCATCCTGAACCTGTTCTACCTACCATCCTGAACCTACCTACCACCCTGAACCTGTTCTACCTACCATCCTGAACCTGTTTTACCTACCATCCTGAACCTGTTCTACCTACCACCCTGAACCTATCTACCACCCTGAACCTGTTCTACCTACCATCCTGAACCTATTCTACCTACCATCCTGAACCTGTTCTACCTACCACCCTGAACCTGTTCTACCTACCACCCTGAACCTATCTACCACCCTGAACCTGTTCTACCTACCATCCTGAACCTATTCTACCTACCATCCTGAACCTGTTCTACCTACCACCCTGAACCTGTTCTACCTACCACCCTGAACCTGTTCTACCTACAATCCTGAACCTACCTACCACCCTGAACCTATTCTACCTACCACCCTGAACCTGTTCTACCTACCATCCTGAACCTGCTCTACCTACCATCCTGAACCTGTTCTACCTACCATCCTGAACCTGTTCTACCTAACATCCTGAACCTGTTCTACCTACCATCCTGAACCTGTTCTACCTACCATCCTGAACCTACCTACCACCCTGAACCTGTTCTACCTACCACCCTGAACCTGTTCTACCTACCATCCTGAACTTGTTCTACCTAACATCCTGAACCTGTTCTACCTACCATCCTGAAACTGTTCTACCTACCATCCTGAACCTGTTCTACCTACCATCCTGAACCTGTTCTACCTACCATCCTGAACCTACCTACCACCCTGAACCTGTTCTACCTACCATCCTGAACCTGTTCTACCTACCATCCTGTACCTGTTCTACCTACCACCCTGAACCTACCTACCACCCTGAACCTGTTCTACCTACCATCCTGAACCTATTCTACCTACCATCCTGAACCTGTTCTACCTACCACCCTGAACCTGTTCTACCTACCACCCTGAACCTGTTCTACCTACCACCCTGAACCTGTTCTACCTACAATCCTGAACCTACCTACCACCCTGAACCTATTCTACCTACCACCCTGAGCCTGTTCTACCTACCATCCTGAACCTGTTCTACCTATCATCCTGAACCTGTTCTACCTACCATCCTGAACCTGTTCTACCTACGATCCTGAACCTACCTACCATCCTGAACCAGTTCTACCTACCATCCTGAACCTGTTCTACCTACCATCCTGAACCTGTTCTACCTACCATCCTGAACCTATTCTACCTACCATCCTGAACCTGTTCTACCTACCAAACTGAACCTGTTCTACCTACCACCCTGAACCTGTTCTACCTACCATCCTGAACCTGTTCTACCTACCATCCTGAACCTGTTCTACCTACCATCCTGAACCTGTTCTATCTACCATCCTGAAACTGTTCTACCTACCATCCTGAACCTGTTCTACCTACCATCCTGAACCTACCTACCACCCTGAACCTGTTCTACCTACCATCCTGAACCTGTTCTACCTACCATCCTGAACCTACCTACCACCCTGAACCTACCTACCACCCTGAACCTGTTCTACCTACCACCCTGAACCTGTTCTACCTACCGCCCTGAACTGATCTACCACCCTGAACCTGTTCTACCTACCACCCTGAACCTGTTCTACCTACCATCCTGAACCTGTTCTACCTACCATCCTGAACCTATTCTACCTACCACCCTGAACCTGTTCTACCTACCATCCTGAACCTGTTCTACCTACCATCCTGATCCTGTTCTACCTACCATCCTGATCCTGTTCTACCTACCATCCTGAACCTGTTCTACCTACCATCCTGAACCTGTTCTACCTACCATCCTGAACCTATTCTACCTACCACCCTGAACCTGTTCTACCTACCATCCTGAACCTGTTCTACCTACCATCCTGAACCTACCTACCACCCTGAACCTGTTCTACCTACCATCCTGAACCTGTTCTACCTATCATCCTGAACCTGTTCTACCTACCATCCTGAACCTGTTCTACCTACCATCCTGAACCTACCTACCACCCTGAACCTGTTCTACCTACCACCCTGAACCTGTTCTACCTACCATCCTGAACCTGTTCTACCTACCATCCTGAACCTACCTACCACCCTAAACCTACCTACCACCCTGAACCTGTTCTACCTAACATCCTGATCCTGTTCTACCTACCGCCCTGAACCGATCTACCTACCACCCTGAACCTGTTCTACCTACCATCCTGACCTGTTCTACCTATCATCCTGAACCTGTTCTACCTACCATCCTGAACCTGTTCTACCTACCATCCTGAACCTGTTCTACCTACCAAACTCAACCTGTTCTACCTACCACCCTGAACCTGTTCTACCTACCATCCTGAACCTGTTCTACCTATCATCCTGAACCTGTTCTACCTACCATCCTGAACCTACCTACCACCCTGAACCTGTTCTACCTACCACCCTGAACCTGTTCTACCTACCATCCTGACCTGTTCTACCTATCATCCTGAACCTGTTCTACCTACCATCCTGAACCTGTTCTACCTACCATCCTGAACCTGTTCTACCTACCAAACTCAACCTGTTCTACCTACCACCCTGAACCTGTTCTACCTACCATCCTGAACCTGTTCTACCTATCATCCTGAACCTGTTCTACCTACCATCCTGAACCTGTTCTACCTACCATCCTGAACCTACCTACCACCCTGAACCTGTTCTACCTACCACCCTGAACCTGTTCTACCTACCATCCTGAACCTGTTCTACCTACCATCCTGAACCTACCTACCACCCTCAACCTGTTCTACCTACCTCCCTGAACCTATTCTACCTACCATCCTGAACCTGTTCTACCTACCACCCTGAACCTGTTCTACCTACCACACTGAACCTGTTCTACCTACCATCCTGAACCTGTTCTACCTACCATCCGGAACCTACCTACCACCCTGAACCTGTTCTACCTACCACCCTGAACCTGTTCTACCTACCATCCTGAACATGTTCTACCTACCATCCTGAACCTACCTACCACCCTCAACCTGTTCTACCTACCACCCTGAACCTATTCTACCTACCATCCTGAACCTGTTCTACCTACCACCCTGAACCTATTCTACCTACCATCCTGAACCTGTTCTACCTACCACCCTGAACCTATTCTACCTACCATCCTGAACCTGTTCTACCTACCACCCTGAACCTGTTCTACCTACCACCCTGAACCTGTTCTACCTACCATCCTGAACCTACCTACCACCCTGAACCTGTTCTACCTACCACCCTGAACCTGTTCTACCTACCACCCTGAATCTACCTACCACCCTGAACCTACCTACCATCCTGAACCTGCTCTACCTACCACCCTGAACCTGTTCTACCTACCACCCTGAACCTACCTACCACCCTGAACCTGCTCTACCTACCACCCTGAACCTGTTCTACCTACCATCCTGAACCTGTTCTACCTACCATCCTGAACCTGTTCTACCTACCCTCCTGAACCTGTTCTACCTAACACGATGAACCTGTTCTACCTACCGCCCTGAACCTATCTACCACCCTGAACCTCTTCTACCTACCACCCTGAACCTGTTCTACCTACCATCCTGAACCCGGTTCTACCTACCATCCTAAACATGTTCTACCTAACATCATGAACCTACCTACCACCCTGAACCTGTTCTACCTACCATCCTGAACCTGCTCTACCTACCATCCTGAACCTGTTCTACCTACCATCCTGAACCTGCTCTACATACCATCCTGAACCTGTTCTACCTACCATCCTGAACCTGTTCTACCTACTATCCTGAACCTGTTCTACCTACCATCCTGAACCTGTTCTACCTACAATCCTGAACCTGTTCTACCTACCACCCTCAACCTGTTCTACCGACCATCCTGAACCTGTTCTACCTACCACCCTGAACCTACCTACCATCCTGAACCTGTTCTACCTACCACTGATTAAAGTCCTGATTGAAGGGGTAAAGCCTAACGTAAACTCTAGCTCGAGTTTATGGGAGTTGAACTCAAACAAGCTCAGGTCCAAGTTTACATTGTTGTCTTCCCCATAACGAATAACGTCTTTCTTTGATCTCAGTTTTTTGTTGTCAGCACTGAAAAATTTAAAATTTACTTTGTGTGTATCTGCTGTTTCAAATAAAAACTGCTAAAATTTAACTTAATCATAAGAAAAATGCAATCTCTTCGTAAGTTGAAATGTGATGTAAACTAACATTTTAGGTATTCAAAGATGAAAAGAAAAGTATCTTCTACAAAATTTGAAACGTCATTTAAGTTGACTTAAAGTGTTAAAGAATATACTAAGTAAATGCAATTGTCATAAAACCTTGGATAAGATATTGGTACAAATGTCAATGAGTAAAACTCCTTTAAACATGTAATTGACATGTTTTTATGTCAAAGTTTCCAACCCACCTGTAATAATAAGCATCAAATTTTCTTTTACTAGCCCCTGGCTTTCTCTTGACTATCTCCATCATCCAGCCATTGGCCAGCTCTTTGTATTTTCTTCTGGGCTTTTCCTTCAGCGCAGACTCTGTGAGGGGGGCAGTGGAAGACTTGGTGCCCACATAGGGGGCAGTGTAAGAAGGGACAGGTTCTGTGAGGGGGGCAGTGGAAGACTTGGTGCCCACATAGGGGGCAGTGTAAGAAGGGACAGGTTCTGTGAGGGGGGCAGTGGAAGACTTGGTGCCCACATAGAGGGCAGTGTAAGAAGGGACAGGTTCTGTGAGGGAGGTGGTGCAATGATGGCTAGAGACTGGCATTTTGCTGGCTTTCCCCTTCAATGTAGTTGCTGGCTTTTTCATTTTGCCAAGAATATCCTAAGCTATAAAAAAAAAAAAGCCATGATCCATTATTAAAAGAAACCAATAACAAATGTAATCCTGATAAATCTGGCCACTATCCTAAGTTCCAATACCTCAAGGCTAAACTAAAAGCCTACACCTGAGTTTCTTACAGAAAGTCTACAGCCCCTCCCACCCTCCCCCCCCCCCCAGAAATGGAATTTCTATAGAAAATAAATACTTTTAACAGTGTCCGCCCCCCCCCCTCCCCCCACCCTGCTGAAAATTTCAAATGCCCCCCACCCCCCCCCCCCCCCACCCCGAGAAAGGAAACATTGATTTAAACTTAAAACTTTTTACTTAGGTTTATGATTTAGGGGTCATCCCTTTAATACGTACATACTGCGAAAGGAGTTGGGGGGGGGGGGTCAGGAAAAAAAATATCGACTTTCGTGGACACATGATGACTTGGGGGGGGGGAGGGGAAGGGTAGTGGGAGTCTGATCCATGTGAACGTCCACATGTTAAGTTTAATATCAGACTGGACATAGTGCTGACCACATTATCCCCTGACGTAGAGACCTAGCCTAGTGTCAGACTGAACATAGTGCTGATCACATTATCCCCTAACGTAGAGACCTAGCCTGTCAGACTGAACATAGTGCTGACCACATTATCCCCTAACGTAGAGACCTAGCCTGTCAGACTGGACATAGAGCTGACCATATTATCGACTAACGTAGAGACCTAGCCTGTCAGACTGGACATAGAGCTGACCACATTATCCCCTAGCGTAGAGACCTAGCCTGTCAGACTGGGCATAAAGCTGACCACATTATCGACTAACGTAGAGACCTAGCCTGTCAGACTGGACATAGAGCTGACCATATTATCGACTAACGTAGAGACCTAGCCTGTCAGACTGGACATAGAGCTGATCACATTATCCCCTAACGTAGAGACCTAGCCTGTCAGACTGGGCATAGTGCTGACCACATCCCCTAGTGTGCAGAGTTCATTGAAACAGATGAACTCTACTTCATCTGCCCATTGTGTCTTGGGCACAAACGGGAAAAGATGATGACTTATACTTACATTGGGGTCATCTATACTGTAAGTGACCGTCACGATTTTATCCCCCTCCCCCCCCCCCCCTCCTCAACATCACACATTTGTCTACCAAACAATCACCGGCGATTTTTTAAAACTCACATTTTGACTGGGCTAGGTCAATGTTGTGTAGCCTTCGATAGATTTTTATTGAAATTTACACGCATTAAAATAGTTACTATCAGGAAGCAGTGTCTTAAATTCAGTTTCTGAAAAAATGATTGCAAAAGTGTGATGTCACAGTTTCTGAAACCCTCCCCTCGCCCCCTACCCGCCTCTCACAAGTCCGAACCTTCCTCGGAAGGGTGACGTCATTGATGGACGACCCCTAATTAAAAATAGTACCTAGCCTACCTCTCGCTAGGAAAGCGAGCGATAAAGTTGACAGAGGTCATGAACCCAATGCGGCGACTTATTAATCGAATAAATAAATGCTAGATTAGCACTATAAATTATTAAATTGCATTCAATGAGTAGACTACACATACACACTGTGCTTATTACTTTACTTACATACTTTTTTTTTTGGGAAATTAAAAATAAAAATAAATTATTTTACTTTGACGTTTAAAACATAGATCTAGACTTACTATATCTAGTCCGAGATCTAGACTAGCTTTTTTTCCCCAAATCTCTAGAATCTAATTTAAATTCTAGATTTCTAGATATCTAGATCTAGATTCTACTTTTAATTAAAATAGACATGTTTAAGCAGAATACATTGCCGAAAATACTCCTAAGTTAGTCTAACACGGCAGCAAATTATTAATTCAAATCTGATTGTCCGAATCGGTTGATATTATTATAATACAATATCTAGTCTAGACCTAGATCTAAGTACAATTCTAAATCTACTAGATCTAGAATCTAGATCTGGATTTACTTACTTGAATTCGTAGAGCGTTTCAGATCAAACGAAAAAATCTGGGAGAACTTTATTAAATGTAGGCCAGACTTGGCTGAGGGGCCAATGTAGTTTCTAGGAACTCTAATCACGTGACAGCGGCCTGTCGCAAACTGTGACCGAGAGCATAAACCTAGCCTAGGCTAGGCCTAACAGTAACAGAGAGACCCGCTCTCTCAAGCATCTCCATCAACTGGCTATCATGCACGATGGGTGGGGGAGGGGGGGGATTTACAGGTAGTGTTGGTTCTTTTCTTTTTCTTGTAGGTATTAGGTAGGCCTGGGCTATGCGGCTATGTTAATACAATAATAGGCCTAGAGCCCATCACCGCTATGGGCTTATATTTTGATTGTGTGCTGAATAGATCTATCTGCTACTCAAAATGATTGAATGAAAAGGTTAGGTTTACACAGTTAACTGGGCTTTAAAATGTGCAATGTAGATGTGATGATTAATAGATTATATATAATTATTTGTAAGCCTAGTTACCTCTAGTTATTTATGTGCCGTGCGTAAATGACACTCACACTAAGAGGGGGAGAGGGGGGGGGGGGGGGGGCGGAGAGTGCCAGAATTTCAAAAGCGATAGGGCCTATTAAAATTGAGTTCTCGCAGTAATTTCGCATTTTAACATCTGGTGCATGCACTTAATCTTGACCCGAATATATTATGGTTGACTCCAAATTCGGCCTTCTTTTCATTTTGTATTTGCTACCATGGCCTTTGTCCATCCTAGAACATCCTACAAGATTGCAGTTGTTTGATTTTTGAGTTTTGGCTTGCTGTCCCCAGTTATCGGACCTCATCTGTCCGGGGGTGAGAACTCGAGATTTTCTTCTGTTTAGCTACCATGGGCTTTACCGATGTTTGAGCAGTAGGGTGCAAGGAGGGGGGGGGGGGGCTCAGGCATCCACTTCGACTGAGCACCCAATCAGAGTTTCTTTCAGGCATCTAATCTGGGGGCTCTGCCCCCCCCCCCCCCCCGAAGAGATGCCTGGAAGAAACTCTGATCCACTCCTTTCTTACAAAATCCATTTCTTGTCCTGGCCGAGTGCAACAGCTTGCTGATCAAATGTCGCCAGATTGTTCCTTGGACTAGTCACTAGAGCAGGGGTCTCCAAACTACGGCCCGCGGGCCGGATGCGGCCCGCGAAGTCCTCTCATCCGGCCCGCGGATATCTTTTTGTCCAAGAAAAAATCGTTTGTTGGTGATGGCTGAGGAACTTTGCCCAGAAAAATCAAACTTGCCTGGAAGAAACTGGCCCCCGAACTGAAATTTGATAGTTAACGCGGCTCTCGGACTGAAAAGTTTGGAGACCCCTGCACTAGAGCATCGAAAGGGGGACAATTCAGATGTACCTGGTACTCTCCCCTTGTTTTCCCCAAACAGGTACACGGATCAGTTTGTTAAACGGGATTTATTTCCGGTAAACTGATATCTGTGAGCGAACGAAAGGGTTGTCGTGGGTGTCAGCAAGATTTACGGCCGTTACTTCCCGTGTCTCGGGGAGAATTTGGGGACGGTTCATCCGAGCTAGGCATCCGTGAGACAGGGTGGCCTAATTAGAACAACACAGTCCCGTGTTCGCCGATGCTGGGTTAGGGTTAGGTCTTAGTTTAGCTAGGGTTAAAACAACATCGACTGTCAGACATGTTGGTACAGCTTGATAAGAGATAGGGCCTAACCCACGGGTCAGCCCTAAGCGTCGTGGTTCTCATTCAGCACACGCTCCTGTGTTCTCATTGGCAATGATTATCATGTTCTGCCTGGTAGTGATGGGGATTGTAGGAAAAAAAGTCACATGAAAAAAAGTCACATTTCCCCCCCCCCCCCCCTCAGGCACGTAATTTATAGCGTCAGTTGTGTGTTCGCTTTAGTATTACAGTTTTCATCATCGGCTTGTGAGGACTGATACAGATTTACAATAGTAATATTTCTTTCTTACTTGTAGCCTGCTTTCATTCATTTAAGATGGTTTACTTATACATAGATCTAATACAAAACGTCTAAATATAAAGAAAAAATAAAAATTAAAAACCAACCTGAAACTGAAAATGCAAATGTGTAATTAAATGATGATTCAAGGGATTTTTTTTCCTCACACAGGAAAAAAGTCACAAATATATATTTGCATATTTGTTAATACTTTTATGTATTAAATATTTAGAGAGTGCAAATCAACTTAAGATTAATTAAATGTAATGTAATGTGTGTAGGCTGTATACGCATAGGAATTTTTATAATTCATCTAAAAATATTTATTATGAAGTATGTAGATTGTAATGATTTTAAACTTAAGATTAGTAGCATTTAATAGAATGCTCCAAAGAACACGTTTTTCATCGTGTTTTTTTTTTTTAAATACCAATATTAAATTACCGTGAAATGGTAAGTTCATCTGGCTTGCTGCCCTCAACTCATGACAACAATAGTTATGTTTAGTTCAACCACCTTTACTGCCCACATTTATCACGCTCATTACATAACCAAACTTATGATCAAAACATAAAGCCGACAAGGTTCAAAGGCTGTCATTGACGCATAACGTCAACAACACAAAATATGTTCGGACAATGCCTACTGAGGAGAGGCCGACCAGAGAATAGCCAACGGCAAAATGTGCCTAAATTTCTTTTTATAATTAACTATTCTACCGCGTACGTAACAAAAGTTGAGATTGTTGTGTTAATTATTTTTTACTTACAATTGTTATAAATCATAATGCTTTTAACGTCTATAAATAATAGATCTTATATGCTATCAAAAAATACAACCCACAACAATAAACATACAGAATTTTACAATTCTTAACAAATTAATAGAAATATTTCTAAAAAGATTTTTGTGACTTTTTTTCTGTGACTTTATTTCTGTGACTTTTTTTCCGATAAAATTTTTCCACTGTGATTTTTTTTCCGTGACTTTTTTTCCTAGCAAAAACTGTGACCTTTTTTCTTTTTTTTTTCCCTGTGACTTTTTTTCCGTTCAGCGTGATGGGGGAGGGGGGGGGGGGCAGACTATTTAATGGGCTCAATATCCGACCAAAAAGCAGACCTTGTATTCCAAAATTACGTTTCCATGCACCAATAGTGGTTTTGTAAAAAAAAAAAAAAACGACTACATTTGTGATGCTCTACACAGTAGCTATCACACACTAGGCCCTATTGCGTAGAGAAAAAAATCTACATGAGCAGTAGTTTAAAAGATAGGCAAACGTTCAAACCACTTCCATGACTTATTTCAATTATAGTCAATTAAGAGTGCCAATAAGCTGCTTTTAATAGTTTTGTACTGAACAAATTAAAAATCAATTGCTTCTCTTAATTATTATTTTTTATAAGGTACATACCAAAGAAGGACATAGTATAAAAAGTCATTTATTTAAAATTAATAATATAAATACGAAAAAAAAACAGAAATAAACATAACACGAGGAACCATTAATCATTAACCATAACATTAACAAGCTTTCCTGTTTCATATAGGGCCTACTTTTGACATAAAATGAGACCCACAGATTTTCAAAACAGACTAAAAAAGACTTGTGTACTCACACACATGACATATTGTTTCTAGTTCCGCCACTGCTACCGCATCTCTAAGTCAGTACGATAAGATAATCAAACTTTGTTTATTTATCTTATCAAAATATTTATGTATTAGTAAGAACTAATAACTTAATTTTAAAAGTAAAATAAGATAATAAAGCCGAAGCTAAAATGCGATATTTTAGATTTTTTTTTTTACATTTATGACTATATAACAGTATCGATACGTTAAATTATTGCTTTGCACTGCTGTTACGATATAATCGTGCTATTTTAGTATTAGTATCGCCCATGGGTAAAAGCGAGTGTCATGGCGCACAACAGGGTTATTGTAAGTTAAACTAAGTATAATCTAGATCTACTAATAATAATTACACCTCTTAGATTAAAGTCTAAATTTGCCTTCTTGATTTATGAAGGTTTAGAATAATTTTAGGAAACACGGTATGACTAATTTATGAATTAGATTTAGATCTATGAAATAGTAATATGAGAGAAGGTCGAAGGACATGGTTGATCTCGATGGAGTTGGAGTGGGGTTCACTAGTCTCTAGAACTCTAGAGCAGAGAGTCTTCTAACTTCTAATCTAGATCTAGAATAGAATCATACAAAACTTTTAAGAATGTCCTTAGATTTTAGAATAAGAAAGATAACATTTCCTTACTTAACACTATAAATAGAACTATTGTAAATAGATCTAGTCTAATTATAAAATATAGGCCTAAGAGGTAAACACATCAAAGTAGTTTGGGGACTGAATCATGAAGAATCACGATTCAATTTCAATCGCACTGAATCAGGTTCTTTGACTTTGTGACATTGTCACTTTGTGACTTTGACCCTCTGACACTAACTGGTAATCTTACATTTTCTTCCTGTTTTCATTTAATCGGAACATTTTCTTATAAATTAACCTACAAATTAGATCTATATTTAGACTTTAGACTCTTAGAGTCACTATTAATTAGGCTACAAATGAATTGATGGGGTATTTTTTACCAAGTCGTCCAAGTGGCTACTCGGAAAAAGCTTCTTCATCCAGTGCTGGTCTGGATGGTAGAAGATGCAAATTGCAATGACCTTAATAGATGCACAATGGACTCCAATACTATTAATAGCTGCAAAATGGTCTCAAATTAATGAACCTATTCTTATGTAGCTGCGCAATTGGACCTATTTTCCTTTTTAGCCTTCTTCTTCTGACAAAACTAGCTGTACCGTGTTTGGGCAGTTATATGGATTATTAGAAAGCAGGGTTTTTTTTATTTTAACTCAGTAAAATATAGATCTGTATTTAAATAGACCTGCCTAAAGCCTAAAGAATCTACAGATCCACCCTCAATATTACACACAGATCCACCCTCAACATTGTTCACTGATTCAGTTGTTATATATTGTATCATGTATGCACACAACTTTAAGCATGTTACATGTAATAAAAATATTATTGAAAGACTATGAGAACTTAATAGGGGCCTAAGTATTTAATAGAACAGCTTAGAATGCTGAGAAGGAAATCTATCAAATAATTCCTGAACTCTTTCATGTCAGCAATGGGCAACACTGGCAAGGACTTGGTGGATTTATGATGCTAACCAGCAGTGTCCATTCAAGTCTGCTTATAGGATCATTCCATACCTACAAGGCTTGAATAAACCTGTTTATTTTAGAAATGGTAAGTCTTTTACATTCTAACCAGATAAACTCTCTTTGTCTTTAGTACATACTCTCCTGTCTTTAGCACACACACACACAGCTAGTGAAGACAGGTCTGGTCAACCCTTGAGTTGACCACAGAAGTCTAACCAAGGCAGACCACCATCTACACCTGTGGAATTACAGGCAATTGGTCAGCTACAGGTGGCTTGGAATTAAATCCTTGTGACCAGCCTTAGTTGATTATAATCCGTTGTACAGCCATTGTTTATTGTTGAATCTGTTATACAGCCCTTGTTTAGTGTTGTATCTGTTATACAGCCCTTGTTTAGTGTTGTATCTGTTATACAGCCCTTGTTTAGTGTTGTATCTGTTATACAGCCATTGTTTATTGTTGAATCTGTTATACAGCCATTGTTTATTAACTCTGTTATACAGCCATTGTTTATTGTTGAATCTGTTATACAGCCAGTTTATTATTGAATCTGTTATACAGCCCTTGTTTAGTGTTGTATCTGTTGTACAGCCATTGTTTATTGTTGAATCTGTTATACAGCCATTTTATTATTGAATCTGTTATACAGCCCTTGTTTAGTGTTTTATCTGTTATACAGCCATTGTTCATTGTTGTATCTGTTGTACAGCCATTGTTTATTAACTCTGTTATACAGCCAGTTTATTATTGAATCTGTTATACAGCCCTTGTTTAGTGTTGTATCTATTATACAGCCATTGTTTATTGTTGAATCTGTTATACAGCCCTTGTTTATTTTTGTCGCTAACAGGTGATGTTGGTGATCATGTCGTGGTTTACAACACAAAGGACATTGCTATGAGAAGCCGCTATTGGAGGACATTTAAATACTTCCATCATACCAGGTCAGCATTATATTTGCACTATAGTATTATCTGTGCTGACCCTTCCTGCTAGTTCATCCCCCCATATTAGCTGGGTACATAAGAATGACCTACCAGGCTGTTTATGCAATATTGTATCTATAGTTTATTTGTTTGAGCAGTAATCTTGTAGCAACATGACGTCAAAGCGACTTCAAATGTCAACATCCTGCATATAGTTTTAAGTTGTCTTGGGATTTAAAAATCAGGTAACAGGGTCAACAGGTGACACATTAATGTGCAACACCTGACTTAGTTACACTCAGGTGACAAGACACAGTAATGTGCAACACCTGACTTATTACACTCAGGTGACAAGATTTAGTTACATACACTCAGGTGACAAGATTTAATTACATACACTCAGGTGACAAGATTTAGTTACATACACTCAGGTGACAAAACTAAGATACATACACTCAGGTGACAAGACTTAGTTACATACACTCAGGTGACAAGATTTAATTACATACACTCAGGTGACAAGATTTAGTTACATACACTCAGGTGACAAAACTAAGTTACATACACTCAGGTGACAAGACTTAGTTACATACACTCAGGTGACAAGACTTAGTTACATACACTCAGGTGACAAGATTTAGTTACATACACTCAGGTGACAAGACTTAGTTACATACACTCAGGTGACAAGATTTAGTTATACTCAGGTGACAAGACTTAGTTACATACACTCAAGTGACAAGATTTAGTTACATACACTCAGGTGACAAGACTTAGTTACATACACTCTGGTGACAAGATTTAGTTACATACACTCTGGTGACAAGACTTAGTTACATACACTCAGGTGACAAGACTTAGTTACATACACTCTGGTGACAAGATTTAGTTACATACACTCAGGTGACAAGACTTAGTTACATACACTCAGGTGACAAGATTTAGTTACATACACTCAGGTTACAAGATTTAGTTACATACACTCAGGTGACAAGATTTAGTTACATACACTCAGGTGACAAGATTTAGTTACATACACTCAGGTGACAAGACTTAGTTACATACACTCTGGTGACAAGACTTAGTTACATACACTCAGGTGACAAAACTTCATTACATACACTCAGGTGACAAGACTAGACACAGTAATGTGCAACACCTGACAATGTTAAACACACTGTCCCAGGCACAATGTTAAACACACTGTCCCATGCACAATGTTAAACACACTGTCCCACGCACAGTGTTAAACACACTGTCCCACGCACAATGTTAAACACACTGTCCCACGCACAATGTTAAACACACTGTCCCACGCACAATGTTAAACACACTGTCCCACGCACAATGTTAAACACACTGTCCCACGCACAATGTTAAACACACTGTCCCACGCACAATGTTAAACACACTGTCCCACACACAATGTTAAACACACTGTCCCACGCACAATGTTAAACACACTGTCCCACGCACAATGTTAAACACACTGTCCCACGCACAAAGATAAACACACTGTCCCACGCAGTGTTAAACACACTGTCCCACGCACAATGTTAAACACACTGTCCCACACACAATGTTAAACACACTGTCCCACGCACAATGTTAAACACACTGTCCCACGCACAATGTTAAACACACTGTCCCACACACAATGCCAATCTCAAGGATATCCTAGGCAGTCTAGAGAGGGTAGGTACTGAGAAAAAATTTCCCCACATTTTTAAACTTGGTGTTGTTGTTCTCCAGATATGCTGGTGGTTTCTCTAGAGCCTCCGCCTGGCGAGTCCATGAGTTGGATCCCACTAGGGTAAGTCAATTCTCTTTTTCACATTTTGTGCGACTTCATCACTGCTACTTGTTTTATTCTTGTACCATCTCAATGCTGCTTCTTTTATTCTTGTACCATCTCAACCTTTGTTTTATTGTTGTACCATCTCAATGCTGCTTCTTTTATTCTTGTACCATCTCAACCTTTGTTTTATTGTTGTACCATCTCAACACTTGTTTTATTGTTGTACCATCTCAACACTTGTTTTATTGTTGTACCATCTCAACACTTGTTTTATTGTTGTACCATCTCAACACTTGTTTTATTGTTGTACCATCTCAACACTTGTTTTATTGTTGTACCATCTCAACACTTGTTTTCTTGTTGTACCATCTCAACGCTGCTTTATAAAATCATCAACCAATATAAAAATGTGTATAATGAAATCATTAGTTTTAATGACAATGTGCTTGACCAATGTAGGTGATGGAGAAGGCTGTGTACAGTCGTCTAAGTGGCCTGTCCACCAGAAAAAAGATGATGGCCAGATTACATTTATTTCCTGACGCAGTAAGTTGTTCAAATGGGAAATGAGTAGTTAAATGTTTAGGCTAATTGTATTTGGAAAAAAACTTTAACTTTTCTCATTAGAATTCTCCTTAGTACCAAATTCTATTGTGTTGAACTGCCATACACCTGTTGATGTATATTAAACTTGACAGGAAATACCTGAAGATATTCTTGGAAATATAACAGGCCAGATCAGTCAAGTTCAAGTTGTCCCTAAGAAACTGACAGACTACACACAAGAAGAAATTGACAACTTCCCAAGATTGTTTGAGTTGTAAGTCATTTGATTTTTTTCCTCATCAAATATTCCTTTTGATTGAAAAGTAACAAATGCCTAGATCTGGGACATGTTTCAAAATGGTTTTGTTGTACCATCCCAGGGCTTGTAGCCAACAGTGACCAAGATGGTTTTGTTCTACCATCCCAGGGCATGTAGCCAACAGTGACCAAAATGGTTATGTTCTACCATCCCAGGGCATGTAGCCAACAGTGACCAAAATGGTTTTGTTCTACCATCCCAGGGCTTGTAGCCAACAGTGACCAAAATGGTTTTGTTCTACCATCCCAGGGCTTGTAGCCAACAGTGACCAAAATGATTTTGTTCTACCATCCCAGGGCTTGTAGCCAACAGTGACCAAAATGGTTTTGTTCTACCATCCCAGGGCTTGTAGCCAACAGTGACCAAAATGGTTTTGTTCTACCATCCCAGGGCTTGTAGCCAACAGTGACCAAAATGGTTTTGTTCTACCATCCCAGGGCTTGTAGCCAACAGTGACCAAAATGGTTTTGTTCTACCATCCCAGGGCTTGTAGCCAACAGTGACCAAAATGGTTTTGTTCTACCATCCCAGGGCTTGTAGCCAACAGTGACCAAAATGGTTGTTTGTTGGTCATTAGTTTTTGATTATGCTTTGGACGTTAGTTGCTGTATAAGTATAACAAAGTATGCAAAGAAACATTATAGCTAACTTGTTGAATTTGCAACTTGAGGTTTTGTCATTTGCTAGTAGAAAAACTTCTGGTGAATGCAGGCTAAGTATACGTTCTCTCCCGCACCCACCCCTACCTGAAATTTGTTACAATAATTTTTATTTGCTGTATTATCTTCAACAGCCCTTAAAGCTATAATCTTTACCAGCCATAAAAACTATTATATTGAGGGGAATAATTTTATTTGCTGCATATCTTTACCAGCCCTAAAAACTATTATATTGAGGGGAATAATTTTATTTGCTGCATATCTTTACCAGCCTTAAAGACCATGATATTGAGGGGAATAATTTTATTTACTGTATATCTTTACCAGCCCTAAAGACCATGATATTGAGGGAAATAATTTTATTTACTGTATATCTTTACCAGCCCTAAAGACCATGATATTGAGGGGTACAGTCGAGCCAACAGACAAGAACCAGATCAGCACACCAGCAAGAAGTGGAGGCTGTAGTTGTGATACGTGTGACGTACTTGTACATGTGTGTGACATAGTTGTACGTGTGTGTGATGTAGTTGTATGTGGCTTAGTTGTACATGTGTGTGTGACATAGTTGTACGTGTGCGTGACGTAGTTGTACTATGTGTGTATGTGTGTAGTGACTGATTTAATTTGGAACGCCTGATGTGTTGTGTCTGGTGGCTGTTGATGTATTAATACCTGTGTAGAGCTGTTTAGGACATTATTTGTGTGATGTGATAATCAGTTATTAAATTTTATATTTAAACAATACATATTGAGCCTGATATTTTTTTTACTCTCTGAATCTTGTCATATTTTTAAACCACTACAAAATCTGGGCATGTTTGTTCTTGTTCAACAATTTATTCAGCCTGCTACACACTCACATAGGCAAGTGGGACTGAAATTGTCTCTTGTCATTTTCTACCACAGTTATACCAGGCCTCAGTGTGATGGTCAAACTGTGGTCAATGATGGTAACATGTCTCTAACATAGGCAGGTCTTAGTGTGATGGTCAATGATGGTAACATGTCTCTAACATAGGCAGGTCTCAGTGTGATGGTCAATGATGGTAACATGTCCCTAACATAGGCAGGTGTCAGTGTGATGGTCAATGATGGTAACATGTCCCTAACATAGGCAGGCCTCAGTGTGATGGTCAGACTGGTCAATGATGGTAACATGTCCCTAACATAGGCAGGTCTTAGTGTGATGGTCAATGATGGTAACATGTCTCTAACATAGGCAGGCCTCAGTGTGGTGGTCAATGATGGTAACATGTCCCTAACATAGGCAGGTCTAAGTGTGATGGTCAGACTGTGGTCAATGATGGTAACATGTCTCTAACATAAGAATGCCTAAGCGTGACGAAATAACAGTAAACATAACGTCAAGTTATTTTAGCGAAAGTCCCTATAGGCCAGAGACCCACCACTTATTGACAGGTACGGCCTATTATTATTCTAAACGAAAATAAACGCTTCATGTTTTCAGAGCCATTTACGGGGGTGACACCAAGGCAAAAAATAGCAAAATATATAGATAAACTTGAGGGGGGGGGGTGCAAATCGAAAGTTTGAGAGGAAGGGGTGAAAACCGAAAAGTTGAAAGTTTGTTCCCGGGAAGGGTCGCTACGCCTCTGAGGGGGGGGGGGGGGGGGGTGACACCATTAAGTGCCGCACCGGGTGACACCCGACCTCGCTACGCCACTGATCTAATGTGACAGCCTACTAAACTGGTGTGATCTAATGTGACTATTAACCTGATGTCTAAATCACGTCGAATTTTTAAAAAAAATTGTACATTTATCACCGTTTATTTTCTAAGCTGTGTGTGCCCCCCCCCCCCCCACCCCACCCAAAATAAAATAACAAATCCCCACTGCAAGAAGACCCAGGGCCTAAATAGACGTCCCATTTCTAAAATAGAGCATCCAGGCTGATTTTATATTTTAGCGCTGCATCTAAAAGTTTGATATTAATTCCTTCCTCTGCCGATGGATCATGACTGTCAACATCGCCGGCCACGTCATTCCAGCTCCCCTGTTTCTGACTCGATGGATCACCCATCTATAAATCTATACGCTTGACCATCTCGATCTTTTAAAAACATATGAAGCAATTCAACAATTAATTTTTTTACAATTTGAATCTCGTAACTTCGGCCTTGAGGACGATAAGACGAAAATCATGCTGTTCATACTCCATGTAATTTTGTATTTATTGATAACTAAGTTTTGCTTCCTGTGAATATCAAAAATAAAATATAAAGTAAACATTACTGAATTAGGAGAGGCCCACGGTTTTGTATATAATTAATTTACAATAGTTTGCCAGACTTAAAGATGGAAATCAAATGAATTATTAACCATTTTAAGAATCTTTAATTCTTTATTTATATTTATATGGCAGTCATACTGAGGTCACCATGATGTCTACATGATGATTAAGCAGAAAATTAAATAAAGTGTTTACATAAATATGTACTGATTTAAAATCCCCATTCCACACTGTGTACTGATTTAAAATCCCCATTCCCCACTGTGTATCTATTTAAAATCCCCATTCCCCACTGTGTACTGATTTAAAATCCCCATTCCCCACTGTATACTGATTTAAAATCCCCATTCCCCACTGTGTATCTATTTAAAATCCCCATTCCCCACTGTGTATCTATTTAAAATCCCCATTCCACACTGTGTACTGATTTAAAATCCCCATTCCCCACTGTGTATCTATTTAAAATCCCCATTCCCCACCGTGTACTGATTTAAAATCCCCATTCCCCACCGTGTACTGATATAAAATCCCCATTCCCCACTGTTACTGATTTAAAATCCCCATTCCCCACCGTGTACTGATTTAAACTCCCGATTCCCCACTGTATACTGATTTGAAATCCCCATTCCCCACAGTGTAGTGAGTTAAAATCCCCATTCCTCACTGTATACTGATTTAAAATCCCCATTCCCCACTGTGTACTGATTTAAAATCCCCATTCCCCACTGTGTACTGATTTAAAATCCCCATTCCCCACTGTACTGATTTAAAATCCCCATTCTCCACTGTACTGATTTAAAATCCCCATTCCCCACTGTTTACTCTTCCAACCAAGTTCCCATAGGCTGGGGCCATGACGTTCTTGCCTGGCCTGCAACCTAGTTGTGACACAGCGCGCGCATTGGTCACCGCCACCTGTCTCCGCTGGATGACTTCCGATCGTCTGTTCATCTGCTTCGATGCGTCATCTGTCGTCTGCTGCTGCGGCTTGTTGCCTAGATCCTCCCACGGGATTGGCTGGTGCCTCCCTTCGTTCTTATAGGGCGACTGCCTCAGTCTCTGCGGTGACGCGCTGAGTGAGTGATCGTCTGCGGGTCTTGGACTGGGTTCGTCTGCTCCTTTATTTTTGTTGTCAAGTTTTTTGTCAGGGTCAAGGTGAGGCTGAGCATTGACACAACAAGAGCTCACCTCTAGGTCAAGGTCAGGCTGATCTATGCTGAGCTTATGTCTATCGCAGCATTTATCCATTTCCGCTTTAAAGTCCTCCAGCATGGTGCTGGTGGTGGTCAACATTGGCATGTTGCCGTCGGCCGAGTCGCTGAAGGAGTTGGTGCAGGGCGGAATGAGGGCGCCTTTAGCGGACGGCTCCGTGTCGGAGGCGCAGGTGGTGTAGTCATCGTCGTCGTCTAGCGAGTGGAAGGATGGCGACATGGCGCTCTCGTTTTTGTCGATGTTGTCGCTGCTGGCGTACTTGCCCAGGTTCGGCCGCTGGCCCAGATAGTAGATGGCCCGGTCACGTAGAAACTCGGGCCACGTCACGGGGCTAGGATAGAAGGATAGAAACCATTGCTGTAGATGTCTGGCATAGAGTATGTATGCGATTGGATTATAAAACACAAATATTGAATCAAAAATTTGAGTCGTATTACTGTTGAAAGTATTGGGCTGTGGCCTAGCGGCAGAGCGCTAGACTGCTAACCCGAAAATCGCGAGTTCGAATCCGGGTTGAAGTCAATATAACGTTCCTGAGTCCACCCAGTTTTAATTGGTATCTAACTCACGTTAGGAAAAAGTAAAGTCTGTTGGGCATATCCCTTTATATGCCGTGGTCACAGAAACAGGTGAACTCTATTTCACTTGCCCCATGGACCGTCAGGTTCGAAAAATGAACTTTGTTGAAAGTAGATGTCATTTATTATCTTAATATTTTGCTTGAATGTATCAAGTTTCAAGTAATGACCAGATCTCAAAATTGTCTAACAAGACACCATTAACAACTGTATTTAAATGTAACTTTCATTCTGTGGTCAAATGTCCAATCGGCACTGTATTGACACAAATGTAGAGTGATCAAGCAGAACTGACCTTTCTAAATCCTCGTCTATGTAGATGATGCTGTTGTCGGGGAAGTAGGTGCTGACTCGAGACTTGGATCTGGGGATTGACGGAGTCATTGACATATAATAGGCGTGGTCCACAGGGACAGAGTCATAGACATATAATAGGTGTGGTTGTGTGGTCCACAGGGACGGAGTCATAGACATATAATAGGCGTGGTTGTGTGGTCCACAGGGACAGAATCATTGATAGTAGACATTACATGGATGGCTGTGCGTGTCTCAACAGAGCTATGAACCAACCGATTCCCTGACATTACATGGGCACCCCTATGTGTTCAACAGCATTGTTTGCAACCATTCCAATCGGCACTTGACAGCGAATAAAATAAAAAAGCGAACATTAATGGATAACATAGTGGTATGTTTTTTGTGTGGTCACATTAAATTTAAAATCTAATGCTAATAAATTTTAAAATTAGCTACTATCTCTAACCCGTCAAAAAACAGCTGGACCTCGGCCTTGGACACCAGACCAATGCCCTGCTTGTCTAGCTGTCTAAACGCCTTCCTGGCCTCTGCTATCTCGGCCTGTGTCAGCAAGTGTACCAGGGAGTCCTTGAGAAGAAATGTTTCATAATTATTTCGCTTTTTTTTTTACATGCTATTGTCTTGTTGATAAAAAGGATTTGATTATTTACAGTTTATTCAAAGATTATTACTAATCAGATAAAAACAGCCTTTACTTTTAGTAATGATTTTTTTTTTAAATGTAGACGGTACCCACCTTACATCGTTTGTTGAGGATCCTGATACTCTCAATATTGAGGAAATCATTCCAGCTAATATAGCCAGATTGGGCTGCCATACGAAATCTCTCACTACTGCTCAACTCCTTCTCAGCAGTGAATATTTTACCCTCCTTGATTAGAGATTGTTTACAGTAACTTAGGTAGTCTTGTTCAGATATCTTCTCTGTTAAAGGAAACATATTTTAGTCAACACATTTGTGTCAGATTTAATTATTATCCCCCCACCACACCCCTCCCCCACATTAGTTTTTGCTAATTAAAACTTCCGTACCTCGCGAAATGTCGTAGTCTTCTAGGTCTTCCATGACCTTTTTGACCTCTTCCTGGGTCAGTAGATGGTTCAACGCCACCTGACAAAAACGAAACTATGACTGTTATGGTTGTAGTGACAAATCGGCAACATGGTGGAAAACACGACGGAGCTATTAAAATAACGTGTTTTTATTTTCTTAACAGAGGTCTTAGTTGTTAAAAGGGTGTTTAGTTTTAAAGGGTGTTTAGTTTTTAAATGGTGTTTAGTTTTTAAAGGGTGTTTAGTTTTTAAAGGGTGTTTAGTTTTTAAAGGGTTTTTAGTTTTTAAATACATTTTTTTACTCGCACCATAAGCATTGTATAAAAGACAAATAAATAAGTACGACAGATAATTGTACCAATTTTTTAAAAAAGTAAATAACGTATTAATTATTTGTATAAAGGTCGTCCATAAATGATTCACGCTGTTTTGCAGACTCCCTCCCACCCCTCCCCCTCTTTCCCAAATCGTTATAATAAGTAATAAACGCCTAAACGATATTGATAGTGGCTCACACTTCATCGCCCCCCCCCCCCCCCCCCCCCCCCCCGCAAAATACTTTTTTTTTCTGCCTTTTTAAACATAAACAGCTATGTCTGTCTAGTTCTACAATATTGATTGGGGTGTTTAATACATTGATACTTGGCAAAAGGAGACAACTTGTTTTCACTTCGATCATAAATTCATAGAAAAGGGGAGGCAACTTGTTTTCACTCAAAGTGTGAGTCACAAAACACTACGACACGTGATAAGCCATGTGTGCCAGATTTTTCATTGCCGTCCATCGTGGCAACAGTACATGTCACTTGAAAACCTCGTCCATATCAAACCACCGGCCTGACATCAGATGTGAGTGTGTGTGTTGGGGGGTGGGGGGGGGGGCTGTACGTCCTGAAGTTGTATTGATAAATAAAGAGGAAGGGGAGAGGGTGGCTAGGCATGATGGCTAAATAATTTCATACAGTCAGTCAGCTGGCCTGTTTGTTAATTAGTTGGTCAGTCAGACATTTAGCCAGCCAGTCAGCCAGCAAGCTAGTCAGCCAGTCAGCCAGCCAGCTAGTCAGCCATCCAGCTAGCCAGCCAGTCCGTCAGACAGCCAGCCAGTCCGGTCAGACAGCCAGTCAGCCAGACATCAGTCAGTTTTCCAGTCCATCAGCCAGCCAGTCAGGTCAGACAGTACAAAATGCCTTACACACTGGTGACAGCTCCACTGGCCAGTGACGATGAGATGCCTGGCCCTGTCATTGAGCGGGTGGCCGATCTTCTGTAGACATCCGTCATGGTAGGCCTTCAGACACACTCGACATATCCTCACGTGATGCCCGGTGTACACGCCACACACATAGCAAATATCTTCCGGCTCTGGCTGCATATATATATATATATATATATATATATATATATATATATATATATATATATATATATATATATATATATATATATATATATATATATATATATAAACAAACACATTAAATAAGGGTTTAACGTCTTTATTAACCCATGATCGTTGTTTAGCTAGTTAGACTTGTTTTTCCTATGAAAACTATGTCGTCGCATTTGCATGTTATGTGTTTTACTACACTTGCAGGCGATCAGTGTTTCTACCAGACTTTTTCTCCAAGGGGCGGGGGGGGGGGGGGGGCACTTTCAATTTTCGGGGGGGGGGGGGGGGGGGGGGGAGGGGCGGTAGACTTTCTTCAGGGGGCGGACACTGTTAAATGTATATATTTTCTATATAAATTCCATTTCGTTGGGGGTGGGGGCGGTAGACTTGAAGAAACTCAGTAGGCGATGTGTTTTACTACAAGTTAATACAAATCTAGGTCATTGCTGTTGTAGGGTAGCTAACGTGTTTTACTACATGTTAAAAAAAATCTATGTCGTTACAGTTGTAGGCTAGCTAATGTGGTTTACAACAAGTGGATACTTAAGTGGCGAACGAAAGTAGGACAAAACAACTTATGACGTCATAACTAAAACCATTGTGGATAATTTCTTTGTAAACTCGCAACTTAATACTAATCAAACTTTTAAAAAAACATGTTGACTATATAACATTCCGAAGTTAATGTTTATCCGCTTGGTTCAATTGTTTAATAAAAACAACTTAAGTATCGAAAGCCATTCAGCCTACAAGATTCAAGTCCAAAGTTTTTAAGTTACGTTTCTGTGTGGATGGGTAGAGTCATTGGCCTGGTGAGTAAAGTCATGGGTCTGGTGAGTAGGGTCATGGGTCTGGTCATGGGTCTGGTGGGTAGAGTCATGGGTCTGGTGGGTAGAGTCATGGGTCTGGTGGGTAGGGTCATGGGTCTGGTCATGGGTCTGGTGGGTAGAATCATGGGTCTGGTGGGTAGGGTCATGGGTCTGGTCATGGGTCTGGTGGGTAGGGTCATGGGTCTGGTGGGTAGGGTCATGGGTCTGGTCATGGGTCTGGTGGGTAGGGTCATGGGTCTGGTCATGGGTCTGGTGGGTAGGGTCATGGGTCTGGTCATGGGTCTGGTGGGTAGGGTCATGGGTCTGGTGGGTAGGGTCATGGGTCTGGTGGGTAGGGTCATGGGTCTGGTGGGTAGGGTCATGGGTCTGGTCATGGGTCTGGTGGGTAGAGTCATGGGTCTGGTGGGTAGAATCATGGGTCTGGTGGGTAGAATCATGGGTCTGGTGGGTAGAATCATGGGTCTGGTGGGTAGAATCATGGGTCTGGTGGGTAGGGTTAAGGGTCTGGTGGGTAGGGTCATGGGTCTGGGTAGTTTTTACTGTGGTAAATGGTAAATGCTGAATTATTTTGCTTTAAACTTTTCGAAGATGTGTATTTATTTAGCTCTATTTTTTTTCTTGTGTTTTTTATTTAAATTAAATATCAATAGGGCCACTTACATCAGGTACACCGTCTAAAGGTATCTCCACGGGTGACGTCTCCCAGTCGTAGATTTTGGTTCGTCTTAAAACTTTGTTAAAATCACTGAAACGGAGGGATTTATCCGAGCCTGACCTTGACCTATTTTTCCCCAACAGAGTGTCCTTGGCGTCACAGGAAGGGCAGGAGGACTTTTTCCTGTAGACGGTGGAGTTGAACTTGTGATTCGCCTGGCAATCGCCAGGGTTCACATTTTCAAAGTCCGCGCCCCGAACAGATTTTTGCTTTTTCAGGGTCCTTTTTTCCGTTTTGATTTTAACGCTGTTCCTGTTTCCTTTCTTCTTTTTGACACTGTTTTTACTTTGTAGACCTTTAGGTGTGTTGGCGTCTCCCGTCTGCTCAATGTCAGGGCTGGATTTTTTGGACTTGGAGTGGTTGCCACCCATTGTAAAAATCACATCTGAACTTGCTGACTCGTGAAAACAAAAAGGCGAAATTATTCTGAAAATAATAATTATCGAATATATTAAATTTATTGGTAAATGATGGTGGGCATGTGCGTGGAGGGGGGCTGGCTGTAAGCGGGTGCTAGACCTATCCTGTAGCCAACCAGTAGGTTGGGGGCATCATATAATCTCTTCACCTCATGTCGTCAGAGGCGTAGCGACACATTCCGGCGCCCGGGGCGAACTATCCATTCCCCCCCCCCCCCCCCGTTTCCATGGATTTTATATACAGGCTATAGTTATTCATGCTGGTTCTACCCATTTTGGCGCCCCATTTGGGTCGGTGCCCGGGGCGGCCGCCTCTGCATGTCGTTCCTAGCGGACCAAGTCTACAACACTCCTGTACACTCGGAGAGTCTTTTGGCGGAGCCAAGAGTCCTAAGCCATATACGGCCCTATATGTGGCTCTAAATATACAAAATGACACCCTAAATAAATAAGTATTCAATTTTCTACTGTTTAAATTGTAAGAGTAAGAGTACTTTATTTCATTCTCTAGGCCAGGGGTCTCCAAACTTTTCAGCCCGAGGGCCGCATTAACTATCAAATTTCAGTTCGGGGGCCAGTTAGTTCCAGGCATGTCTTTGATTTTTCTGGGCAAAATTCCTCAGCCATCACCAACAAACGTTTTTTTCCATGGACAAAAAGATCTCCGCGGGCCGGATGAAAGGACCTCGCGGGCCGCATCCGGCCCGCAGTTTGGAGACCCCTGCTCTAGGCTAATCAATTTTAAAAAATACCATTTGTAAATAGCCGCGAGCTCAGTAATTGTTGTCAAACACAACCCTCTGACGTGCCAAATATACCATCTCCATCACAAAGACATTTGAATTTAGGCTAAGCTCATTTAACTCCGTTCTAATATCAAGACAAAGTATCTTGATTATTCTTTGTTTCATGACGTAGCATATGGCACAATCTAACAAAGACCCCGTGGTATTTATTTCACTATGACACCAACTATCTTACCCCTCATAAACATGTGAATGTCCACACAAAATCCCGCGAGAAATCAGTGAGAAATGACGTTAAATCCCCACGTATTGGTTCGTCTGTCTGCTGAAGACACGCGTGCTCTGGGCAGCAGCTAAAGAAAGACGAGCTGGTGTGTAGCAGTCTCACTTGGAGGCATCAAGTGGGATTTCCTTACATAAGTGGCTGTGTTCGCTCGCTCCAGTGTAATTGCGACTTTCTTTGGTCGCCAGAGTTGTAATTAAGTCTAGCTATGGATGATTAGACTTTCGTTAATGACCTGCTCAGTTAATTGCTACACTTTAACCCGGAGTTTGAGATTTTTGTATTGACAGGGCGAGTGTGGGTTGGATGGTTTTACTGGAAGTAAAGTTCAATAATCAAAATCAACCTTTTAGTACTGCTACATAACTTCCCCTTTCCAAACCCTAAGACAAGGAGCATAAATACAAGACCAGTGTGGGTGACGTCAGTTACCACAAGAGCAGGGACGTCACTCATCATTCCCGGCAATAGAAACAAGTGACGTCAGTGATACTGGAACTAAACAGTCCAGTTGGTGTTAGAGCTCAGGGGCTTCTCAGCTTGAACTGTCTATCCTGGAAGCTGTGGCTTGCCACTTACAGACCAGTTAACTTACATGTTGCCTTACACTTACACCATCCACATGGTAGCTGTGGTGTAATGTGGCCAGCTAGCTTACATGTTGTACCGGTGGTGTAATGATATATAGGCTGTAGAAGCTCTGGTCTATGATATATAGTGGCATTACTAGTTTGGGTGTCACCCCCTTGAGCAAGGTAGTATTTTTTTGTTTGGTGTCACCCCACTTCACCTATTTTATCACACGAGGTGTAAGTTTTGTTCCTGGGGGTCACCTGGTTTTAGATCGCTGCTATATGTTGGGCCGCTATATGTTTACTGAATTAAACTGGCTGAAAGTGAAACAAACTGACAGTGACAAAAAGGGTAAAAAGAAACACCAGGGAAGATTAGTATAAAATACAAACAAAATCATCTTTTTTGAAATTTGATTTATATATTATAACAATTAAAAATGAGAACTTAAGATGGGACATTTATACACTCAGTCACATTCTGGACAAAAAATTAAATGTGACATCACTGAAAGTGTGCTACCTAGCAGCACAGGTGTGTTTCAATAACACACTGATTGATGTATGTAAAATGTATTGTTCATGACACTGTCTCTACCAAATCCAAGTCAACTACGGCCTAAGTGGCGCTAGGCCCAACTTGGCTCGCATCTCATTGGCTTCTTTAATCTCCTGCTCAGCACTGCTGGTCTTGGTTCCTTTCTCATCCCTGCCTCGCCTGTCGTCCTTGTGGCTTCTCTGTTCCCTGTCCTTATCCTTTGGTTCCCTGTCTTTATCCTTTGGTTCCCTGTCTTTATCCTTTGGTTCCCTGTCCTTATCCTTTGGTTCCCTGTGTCGCCTGTCTTTGTCACTAGGACGTCTGTGGTGCCTGTCATCTTCCCTGTCATGACGTGTCTTTTTGCTGCTGCGCTTGTGTCTGTCATCCTCCTTATGTTTGTGATCTGAAACGTTCAAGTCAAACTTTAGATGCTATACTAAGCTTGGCTGTAGTAGTAAGGGGAAATAACAATAAAACAAGTCAAACTTTAGATGATATCCCAACCTTGGCTGTAGTAGTAAGGGGAAATAACAATAAAACAAGTCAAACTTTAGATGCTATACTAAGCTTGGCTGTAGTAGTAAGGGGAAATAACAATAAAACAAGTCAAACTTTAGATGCTATACTAAGCTTGGCTGTAGTAGTAAGGGGAAATAACAATAAAACAAGTCAAACTTTAGATGTTATCCCAACCTTGGCTGTAATAGTAAGGGGAAATAACAACAAAACATGTCAAACTTTAGATGCTATCCCAACTTGGCTGTAGTAGGAAGGGGAAATAACAATAAAACAAGGCAAAATGACCTGGTGATCTATGACGTTTATCTCCCCTATCTCTGAGACCTCTGTCTCCTCTAAATGCTCTGTCTCCACGTTCAACCCTTTCTCGAGATCTTGATCGCCTTTTGATTGGACTGCGATGTCGACGATGGTCTCTACAAATACAAAATGAATTTTAAAAACATGAACTTGATTTATCTGCCAAAGTTAATTCACACAAAACATACATATGTCATTGTTTGTATCTCATATGGTAAATATTTATTAGTGGTTCATAATGAGAACATGAATTAAATTCTGTAGTAACTGCACACTATACTTTAGCTAAGCTGTATATGAGGAATGACAAATGGGCACAAGAGCCTAGCTATGTCCACTGTTAGCCTGACTGCATCAACCTCCACCACTAGTCTAACAACATCTGCCATTACCCTGACAACATCCACCACTAGTCTAACAACATCTGCCATTAACGTGATAACTGCTACCCCAACAAATAGATTACCTTCTTCTTGGACTGATTCTCCTTCTGTGAGGTGATGGAGGTCTGGGCGGTTTATTTTCCTTGACCACTGGTGGGGGCGGGACAACTTTCTTCACTTCCTGTTTGAGCAAATTAGCAATTAAAAAATTAATTGTACAGAAACATTAAAAGTATGCAGCCATGCCTCAAAGGAAAAAAGATAAGGGTCTAAGCTTGGAAGTGTTATTGTTAGGATGATAGTTCATCAAGATGTGTAGGTGCAGGTGTAACGTACCTTCAAAACTTCTTCCTCCTCCTCTGATTCTACATCATCAATGTCTTCCTCAATAGCACTGACACGTGTTTCTAACACATTGGTTTCCTCCAACACATTGCGTTTCTGAAATATACAAACAGTTAACTATCTCTCTTATCATGAGTCATTGACACCAACAAGCAGGTGAGCATGTAGACAAGACAATCACTCAGCACTGTACCTGTATCCTAGGTAAAATGATGTCACAGATCCTCTCTTCCCTGAGGAGCTCATCTATAAACTCATCCATGTGAATGATGTGGAAAGCTGAAAATGTAATGTAAAAGTTTAACACCACAAATCTACTAGACATGTAAACATGAACAACATAAAGTGGAGATCAGTCTAAGCTTTAGGACTCATCGGTCAGGTGTTATTCAGCTAGGGGTAAGATATAATTAATCTTTTCAGTGATAACACAAGCAGTGACAAGAGAACAGACAAAATTTACTATTTTAATCAAAATCCAGGTAGATTTTACAGTAATTGCAGTCATACAATAAGGTTTCCATTTTCAAATTAGAAAAATGGCTGTTAAAATTAAGAACAAAATGTAGGCTAACAGAGCACTTACCGCCATTCCTATCAATGCGCTTTAACTTTCTGTAATCATAGTACAGTGGTTCCAGATATTTGTAACAGTCCACTGAGGTGCCAGTTAGCCTCATGTAAAGGGCCCCCAAAGCTCGAACATATCTAGAGAAAAATCATTGTATCATAATCATCTATTTACTCTATCACCCCTCATGCATGCTAGCTCTTTAAACGTTATGTAACAAGTTGTAACTTAACGTGCTCACTTGAAATCTTCATTCTTTATAAACTCCACAACAATATCTTTTTCTGGCTGAATCTGAAGCATCTTGAGCAGCAGACACAAGAAGGGCACAGGTTTGATGTTTCCGCCAAACACACCACCAATGTACTTGAGCTCCATGGCCTTGTCAACCATTAGGGCGGCTGAAGAAAATAACATTTCAAAACAACTGATACTTGGGTCTTCATACAACTGATACTTGGGTCTTCATATGTTTATGTTGAGGGTTGAATGAGGGTTAAAGACAGGCTGTGAAATTATTTTTGGGTGTAACAAGAAGCTTTTTTTCTCCTTTTTTTTCCGTCATGTATGACATTTGGAAGTACTAGCAAAAATTAAAACATCTAACAATAACTATTTATATTTAACTTACTAGTTGCACTTTTTCATTTATATTTAACCTAAATTTTCAAGTAGAATCTAACGTAACAATTAAGTTTTATTGTACAAAAAAAATTAGCATTCTAATAATACTAATATTAGCACAGAAATTCATTTTTTTGCTTAGCCATTGTTATGTTCTATATCTTTGCACTGAATGAAAAAAAAAACAAGATTCTTTCTCATTCTTTTAGTATTTAAATAGGCCTAAATAATATGAAATTTTTTTAAGTGAGAAAGTAATGAGCACCATAATCCTAAAGGATCTGCGCAACTGAAATTTTATCAATCAGTTTACTAGATATTCAGATTTGAACAGGCAGGGTACTGATTTTAAAAAAAAAATGTAATCATTTAAGTGCCTACATCAGTTTAGAAATGAAATTTGGTGTTTTATTTAGGCCTACTTGCAGTGTTTTATTACACAGTATTCACCATCATGTATGGCAAATGACAATGTTTAAGTATTCAAGTTCTATGCCCAGCTGAAGCCTAACAACTAACGAGTCAGGTACTCATCTGAGTATATTCCTAAGATGAGTTGATTCCAAGATCTTAACTAAACTTTCAATTAGCAGTCAAGCACACATTTATATTATAATATACTTGAAACTACTTTCACTTTGCGATGCAGGTAAATGAAGAAAACTTTAAAACTCTGGAGAGAGGGCGGCTGTTCTGAGTTTCTGAATTTTAGTGTTTAAATTTAGGTTTTGAGATTCTAGTCCAGACAGATTATCATATTATAGCTAGTCTCATAACGCGAGTTGAATTACCTCCCCTGACCCGCTTTTTTATGGCCACTTTCTAGTTCGTTTTTTTCTATCGCGTCTCGGCACTGTTGCTAAAAATAGCATTCGCGCAATACCATACGGGTAAATCTGTTTGGCGTCTGCTACACGTGATAGATCGTTGAATGGCCGACAAGCTGATATAAAAATTATTGCGACCGGATGCGATTTTCGTGGAAATTGAGCTAGATTTAGCAAAAGACAGCTATATTTGTGTAAAATATTATTATTTATACTTCTACTTACACAGATATTTTGATAACTGCAGTTCAGCCGTCCATTTTTCTTTTAAAATGTATCTTTAGAATTTCTGTACCTTTTGGCAATCGGTCAGGAGCATTTGCGCACTAAACCCACCCCCCTACGGCAGATCCGATTTTTTTCCCAGTGAACTCGTACTGACCTCCCACATAGCTAAGATAGTACATTGATACTGATGGGAAAGCCTCTAAATCTGTATTCCTACTAGAGATCTAGAAATAAATCTAGATCGTGGAGTTTTTATAATGACTTTTAAATTGAATGTCTCCAGTTTAAGATATTTTTTTTTCAAAACATAGCTACTTTTAGTACTATATTTAAGTATTTCAAACCCTTTTGGTAGTTTTTTTCTTAAACTTAGACCTAGATCTAGTGATTAGATATCTATATTTTGTACTTATAACTTGCAGGTCTATTAAAATAATTATAAAACACTTTGCTTGATAACTTCATTAGGTCATTTCATAAACACAAATGTTATAAACATATAAAAATCACAAAACCATAGGTAATATCTGAATTCTGTAGCCTACCTTACATTTAGGCTAATACTGAATTAAAAAGAAATTACATTAAGGTTTGAAATTAATACAACTTGTAATTAAGAAAGAAAGCTTCAATTCTAAATACTACAAGATATAATAACAAACAATGAAACAAATTCAAAGCTTTTTTCAACCCATTTAGTCGAAAAGATTTTTATTTTTTCCGATATTGACCAAAATAAGTTTTTAAAGCTTAGGCCTACTGTTTTTACAAACATAACTCAATTTTATTAGGCCCCTGTAAACATTAATTAAGATTCCTCTGTAGACAAAGCAATCTATTTGGCAGATGAAGTAGAGTTCATGTTTCTTGACCTCGGCATATGAAGTGATTGTCCGTGTGGTCAGCGATATTCACAGCCGCCTTTACTTTTTACCTTTAATTTCCCCAATGTATATCAGGTACCCATCAGAAATGGGTGGACTCTAATTGAATTTTATTAAACAAACATTTTGATGTAGGCCTAGATCTATAATCTATAACATTCCAAACAACATCTGTTCTGTAGAATTTACCTTTCTGCTTCCAAATGCGGTATTTTCCAATTGAAAATTCATCACAAAACATACAATAAATTATATAAATGGCATTTTATAAATTTATATAAACTATTTACTTTCACCTTGGTGTAAAAAAATGTAGGTATAAGCAAACTGATTTCAATAGTAAGAAAGAATCATGTCTTTTCTTGCTTACTAGCTTTAAAACAAGTGAATTTGACTTTTTACCTGCGTTTTTGGTCGTGTTTCTATATATTTTATTTGCGACACTAAAAAAATTATATTTAATCAACCAATTATGCTAAATTAATAAAATTGGTACTGTTGGATTGCATTTTTAAAGCTCTACAATTATATGCTATTCTTTTTATAATTTGAAGAAAATTGAATTTATATGAGACTAACTATATTATGATATTAATGATTAGGCCTACTAGAAAAAAAATCTATTCCTATTTTTTGTAGTTTTACTAATTTTAGTCAAGTCAGTACATTATCAATTTTATAGGCCTACCTATTTTTAATTTTAACAAACCAGAAAGACTGGTGAAAAAACAACTAAAAAACAACAAAACCATTAGGCCTAATAAAATGTAATAGCCCCTAGATTCTGGATCTAAATAATAAATAAAATAAATCAAGAGAAGACTTAGACTGATTTCAGTCCAGCAGTTAGATCTAGAATAATCTAGAGTTGAAGAGTTGATGAAACTATGAAGTTGCATGATATTGATGATGATGAAGAATGATGATGAATGATGAAGCCGAGTTCATGAAGTTGAAGTGAAAGGTGAGGGTTGATTTTTTTAGTCTAAGTCATTAACATTTCTTACCCGTAAGAGCAAAACATTCTTCTTTCCAGTATCTGCATTCATAAATCCTGGTCCTGATAATTTTTTCAACTAAATACTGCGGGTTTGTGCCTTTTATAGAATGAGCGTCTTTTACTGTACGGTTCGCCATTTTGTGTACCAGCAGTAAAAAATATGCAGTAGGCTAAGCTGTACACTTTTAAAAATCTGGCCAGCAATCGGATGCTACATCATGTGGCGCCAACATAGGCTAAATATTAAATAATAAAAATAGACATAAACGTGGTTGTTGTTTACAAACACATACAAATTTAAGTAGTGATCACCGGATGAAAATATTAGGCAATCATGCCAGTTAAATCTAAACATTCATCATTTTTTGCCATACAAAATCTGGAATGGCTAGGGAACGGCGAAATAGTAGATAAACAACATAAACCTCATTTTACTAATAAACTGAGTAAACATTTTAGGTAGGCACACGACACGTAGATAGATCTCATGATCTAGATCCTCTAGTTGTGTGTACTTTGACTTAAGTTTAAATTTAATAATTAAGATGTAGAATTGTAGATCTAGAATAGGCCTAGCGGCCCTAGAGTAAGATATTTAGTCTAGATCTAGATCTAGTAGTAGATCTAGCTAGTTAGTTAGTAGCTAGATCTAGATTTCTAGTACTAGAAATCTAGAATTTAGGTTTAGGCTACTTGATTAAGTGATTAAGTGAACTTACTTAACTTGCAAAAAAGTCTACTTAATTAACTAATTTATTGGGTCTATGTACTAACTATGTAGACTCTCTACCTCAAGCAAGACTGACTAGCTGGACTCTAGTCTAGAGTTAGGCTACATAAAGTCATAGTTTACTAATTTACTGTTTTGTTACTCAGTTTTGGGTGATTGAGAAGAGTGAATATTGAGTTGACAATGCATTAACTTCTATTAGCTGAATTAGCCTAATGTGTTCAAAAATCAATAGGCCTAAAAATACACATACTTCTTAGTTATGATTTACACTAATTATGACTAATATAAAAAATCTAGTATCGATTGCTAATATTAGAAATGTTTTGTGTGGTGGTAGACTGTAAAGTAGGTAGATATCCAAGAAATTAATGAATATGTGTTCTGTTTGCAGGCAATTTGTTTTGGATGGTGAAGTATTCAGTATAGGGGACTGTGTCCTGGTGTCTCGTCAAGGCAAGCTGACTAGCTCAGTGGAAAAGGAAGACTGCTACATTGCTCAACTCATAGATTTGTTTGAAAAGGGTATCAAAATAATGTATATCATTAAATTTTTAAAATACAAGATTATTTTAAAAAAAATTAACATTGAATTTTTAAAAAACGTAAATTGCAATTTAACAAATTTGTTTCCAGATTTAGTTTATAATAAAAGAAGTGAAGCTCAAAAGTTAGCACAAGTGAGGTGGTACTGGCAAAGTGAGGAAGTCCCAAAGCAATTAAGGAAAATGTTGAATGCTCAGAAAATGGCAGAAAATGAAGTGATACTAGATTTAAGCGACAAATATGAAAGAGAAATTGACTTAGAAACTGTTGTTGGAAAATGCAAGGTTTGCCTTTATTAAATTTACTAAAATTTAATAATTTATATTTTAATGTCTGAAAATGTGTGTATGCTGAATAGTGTAATTTTATAGTGATAATACTTAACAAAGTTTATTTTAAGGTCTTACACATAAAAGATTCCGGCTCACCAACTCCAACCTTGAAAGAACACAACAATAACAGTCCACACCCGGCTTTCATTGCCAGAAGAGCCTACAATGGAAAATGTTTGGTCTCAATAACTGGCAATGAAAACGAAGGACTTTATACCATAAACACAGATACACCTGAAAATAATGGTAAAAGGCGTCCATCTTCAAAAAAGGACTTAAGCACACCAAATGGAAATTCTCATACTGAAACCGACAATCTAGTCATAAAACCATCAACTCCAAAGATCAAATTATCTCGGTTAAAAAATGCAGATTCTCCAGCTGCTCATACTAAAGATGCATGGATGCTCAGCACAAAGGTTGGTTGTAGAACTATCAAACACAATTATTAATGTTAGGTTAGAGGTTGTTATTCCTAGACTTGTGGATGCTGAGGTTGCTTGTAGAACTATCAAACACAATTATTAATGTTAGGTTAGAGGTTGTTATTCCTAGACTTGTGGATGCTAAGAAGGTTGCTTGTAGAACTATCAAACACAATTATTAATGTTAGGTTAGAGGTTGTAGAACTATCAAACACAATTATTAATGTTAGGTTAGAGGTTGTAGAACTATCAAACACAATTATTAATGTTAGGTTAGAGGTTGTAGAACTATCAAACACAATTATTAATGTTAGGTTAGAGGTTGTTATTCCTAGACTTGTGGATGCTAAGAGGGTTGCTTGTAGAACTATCAAACACAATTATTAATGTTGGGTTAGAGGTTGTTATTCCTAGACTAGTGGATGCTGAACACAAATGTTGCTTGTAGAACTATCAAACACAATTACTGACATTAGGTCATAAGTGTTTTGTCTCTTTTTTTGTTGCCATCTAGCAGTTAACTAGTTAGGTAATTAAAATGTTAATTACATATTACTGGCTAAATTAAATTCTATCATTAGTTTCAGTGGCTGTCAATGCTTAATTATATAAAGTTAGATTTTGTAAGAGTGACCAGTTGTGTAGAGCCATTTTATGGTGTTACAGTGTCCAGCTAAGAGAATGTCTATCAAAGAAACTGTTGAGCAGCTGTACAAGACATCTCCTCCCAAATGTTCAGAGACCAGCAAGAGTCCCAGTGGTGAGTTCATCTTTGGCACAGTTGGGTGTGTTGCTAAATTTAGAATTTTTTACTTTTTGAAATGTTATAATTTTGTATGCACATACATGTGACAATGCCGACTACGTGAAAAACATTAGGTTTAGATTTGCTAATGTGTTCCTAAAGTTAATGGGAAATTGTCTGCCTTTATTTTCTTGGATTGTTAGTTCATTTACTGTCTGATGTGATGTAAACCATTATTCTACTGTAAACTTTGTTTCAGTTATAAAATCTCCCATCAGCATGATGGCCAGACTTAATCAAAAGAACGTCATCGACATGTTAAATCATGACAGTGACACTGACGACAACTCGTCAGTCAGCTCTGATGACACTAAATTCAAATTAAACAGCGTGACTAAAGCTGAGTCAGCTGCTAGTCCACGAGCTAAGAGAGACTCGAACACACCCTCCAAACGCTACAGGGAGATAGACAGCGATGGAGATGTCAACATGGAAGAGTGCGCCACCAAAAAGTTGAAGATGGAAATTCTGGGAGGGTACGGGGAGGAGTCGCCCAGCCGTAAGCATGTTGCCAGGGTTATTCTACAACGGCTCCCGAGCGCTGATTATAAAATAACACCCAAGAAAGACAGCAAGCCTGAGCCTGGGGAAGATGATATTGTCCACCAAGTGGCCAGATTGGGTTTACTCAAGTCTAAAAATATCAACTCCCCGACTGTGAACATTAAAAATTCTCCATCAGTCACGCGCCTGGTTGGCTCGCCTTACAGAAGGAAATCAATCTTTGAGGTGCTGGACTCTGAAGACCTGACAAAAACTCCACTTGCTAGGCGTAAAGGATCCGACAAAACTCCAGACAGCCTTGAAGCAGGTAGGCGTCGCTTGTCTGTTAATTTGTTTGGGAGTAGCTCTTCTATGTTTGAAAACAGTTTAGAGCTAACTACGGCAGCAAAGACGCCATCAAGGCCAAAGTTAAAGAATAAAAGTCATCTCTCTGATGAAGACGAGCAGCAGGAAGATGTGTTCAGTGCAACTGTACCAAAAAAAACAGCCGAGGCTGGTCCCCAGAGTGTCAGTCGTCGTGGCAGACCCATCAGCACGCCTAAGAAGTTCTTGCCAGATGAGCACCACACTCCAAAGAAGAAGACGACAAACCAGGAAAACACAACACCCGTAAGGATTAAAATTAACAAGAATCCCACGCCTGGAAAATCTGGCACCCCTAAATTCACACTAGTCAAAACCCCACCTCGTCAAGCCAGCAGGTTGCTGAAGGACACTGTTGAAAGTCCTGGTAGGACCCCAACTCGTCGAGCCAGCATCTTGCTGAAGGACACTGTTGAAAGTCCCGCTAGGACCCCATCTCGTCCAGCCAACAGGTTGCTCAAGGACTCAGTGGCCAGTCCTAGAACCACGCCTCGGAGGGCTGCAGCTCTAAGGAGGATATCTTATGCAGACTTGAGCCAATCAGACGAAGAGCAGCCATTCACACCTTCTTCCCGGTCAGCCAAAGCTAAACAGGGCGCTCAGACTCCCATTAGGGTTGTCATCAAGAAAAGGTCAGTGTGTTAGTCGCTTACTGCACTTGTACATGCTTATTGATGTGATGAAATCTGTTGAAAAGGTCAGCGTGTTAGTCGCTTGTACTACTGCATGCTTGTTGATGTGATGAAATCACTGTTGAATTGATACTTACTGTTGATGTGGTACAATAAGAGGTGAATTCATCCTTTTTGTTTCAGTTCCTACCAGGAATTCTCTCTTGATGACAGTGATGCGGATGAGGATTATAAAGGTGATAAAGATGACAGCAGTGAAGACGAAGACAGCGACTTTGAAGCAGGGAACAAAAAATCCACTAAGAGACAAGAGAAACCCAAGAAGATCAACACGCCAGCCAGGACACCACGGGTATGTGTCAGCTCTAGAGGGGTTTACTGCTGGTTTTAGAAGTAGTTTGATGTTATTTTTGTGAACTTCAGAGATCTTTTGTGTGAATGTTTGTTATATATTTTCTTTTGTTAGTTTTCAAGGAATTTACTCTCGAAGGCTACGCCTAATCTGCCATCCCGAAGTGGACCCAAGGCAACATACAGTAATGACCTAGAGGAGGCTAGGGCTAGGTAGGTCATCCTGGGTAGAGCTGAAATAGACAACTCATAAATCTTACAATGTCATTAAATCTTTTTAAAAAAATGGATTGCTATAAGTATTTGTACATGCCAGAAGTTAATGGTTGATGTTTTTAAACTGCTAGGTTGCATGTATCTGCTGTCCCAGAGTCTCTGCCCTGTAGAGAACAAGAATTTTCTGATGTGTTTGGTTTTGTGGAGGGGAAAATCCTTGATGGTACAGGAGGGTAAGATGTTTTTCTTGTAGTGGGTAAAATATTTGGTTTGTTTACTGTTGTCATGGACACCAATGTAATATTAAGGTCATGCTGTGTCCACCTTTTCTTCCAGGTGCATGTACATCTCAGGTGTACCTGGCACAGGTAAGACAGCCACTGTCAAGGAGGTGATTAAAATCCTCGAGGCACAGAGAGATGAGGGCAATCTCCCAGACTTTAAGTTTATAGAAATAAATGGCATGAGGCTGACCGAACCCAGACAGGCATATGTGGAGATTCTGAAAGTAAGTGCTGTTGTATGTGTAGTTGGAATGTTCTATTATATTTTGTCATTGATGGTTAAAAAGTAATTAATTTATCACATTCACTGAATGGCGCCAAAGCCTGATTAAAAATCTTGGTAAAAATTAATTATTCCACAGGCATTGAATGGCGCCAAAGCAACAGCCGAGCACGCTGTGAATATCCTGAACAAAATGTTTACGTCACCCGGCCCTCGCTCTGATCCTGTGGTTTTATTGGTTGATGAGGTACCATCTTTCATTTCAATGAAATTTTAATTTTTTTTTATTGTAGAACAGAATGTTAACCAAGATGGCTGAATAACTTGAAATTTTAAAATAAATTTTGATTTCAAATGCAATATTTCTTCATCAGTTTAAAAAACTTACATTAGCATACAAATTTTCCAAAATATTGTTACAACTTTATGACTGTTTGCATCATTGGTGACCAAAAAACTGTTTTTTCAACAGCTAGACTTATTGTGGACCAAGAAACAAGATGTAATGTACAACATTTTTGATTGGCCAACTAAAGAGAGGGTTAAACTAATAGTTTTGGCTGTAGCAAACACAATGGACTTGCCAGAAAGGATGATGATGAAAAGAGTTGCCAGTCGTTTGGTGAGTTTGTTGTTACATCACACCAGTGCTAACATGCAATGTTGTGATTGGCCAGGTTTTGATAAAATCAAAACTTCAATTTGGATAAATGTGACAGGAGTGTAGCAGCCATAATGTTCTTATAAGTGCCTTTAAGTCCATGTGAAATGTTTTAAACCTTGTGTACCTGTCTCATACAGGGTCTGATCAAATCGTACACTTGTATGTTTTAAACCTTGTGTACCTGTCTCAAAAGGGGACCTGATCTAACTGTACACCTGTACGTTTTAAAACTTGTGTACCTATCCTAACTGTACACCTGTGTGTTTAAAAACTTGTGTACCTGTCCTAACCTTACACCTGCATATTTTAAAACTTGTGTACCTGTCCTAAACTTACACCTGTATATTTTAAAACTTGTGTACCTGGCTCAAACAGGACCTGTCCTAACTGTGCACCTGCATATTTTAAAACTTGTGTACCTGTCTCACACAGGGCCTGACCAGGATGACCTTCCAACCCTACACCTTCAGACAGCTGGAGGAGATTGTGGCCTCCCGCATGAAAGGTCTCAAGGTCTTTGATAACGATGCTGTACAGCTTGCTGCCAGAAAGGTACTAGACCCTTTCATTTAAATTTTCAGTTTTGTTGAGTGGAAAAGTTTAATATGGTAGCTGCATGATTTTAAATTGTTTTCCTGTTTTAACAAAGTAAAGATTTACATTAGAGTCTAAGGAATACTGCACACAGGGTCTTAAAATGTAACCCATGTTTCCATGGGTTTGTTGGGTAGCTTTCTTGTTAGTTTTCTACATGTTTGTCCCAATGTTAGTTTTCTACATGTTTGTCCCAATGTTTTCTACATATTTGTCCCAATGTTAGTTTTCTACATGTTTGTCCCAATGTTTTCTACATATTTGTCCCAATGTTAGTTTTCTACATGTTTGTCCCAATGTTTTCTACATGTTTGTCCCAATGTTTTCTACATGTTTGTCCCAATGTTAGTTTTCTACATGTTTGTCCCAATGTTAGTTTTCTACATGTTTGTCCCAATGTTTTGTACATGTTTGTCCCAATGTTAGTTTTCTACATGTTTGTCCCAATGTTTTCTACATGTTTGTCCCAATGTTAGTTTTCTACATGTTTGTCCCAATGTTAGTTTTCTACATGTTTGTCCCAATGTTAGTTTTCTACATGTTTGTCCCAATGTTAGTTTTCTACGTGTTTGTCCCAATGTTAGTTTTCTACATGTTTGTCCCAATGTTAGTTTTCTACATGTTTGTCCCAATGTTAGTTTTCTACATGTTTGTCCCAATGTTAGTTTTCTACATGTTTGTCCCAATGTTAGTTTTCTACATGTTTGTCCCAATGTTAGTTTTCTACATGTTTGTCCCAATGTTAGTTTTCTACATGTTTGTCCCAATGTTAGTTTTCTACATGTTTGTCCCAATGTTAGTTTTCTACATGTTTGTCCCAATGTTAGTTTTCTACATGTTTGTCCCAATGTTAGTTTTCTACATGTTTGTTCCAATGTTAGTTTTCTACATGTTTGTCCAAATGTTAGTTTTCTACATGTTTGTCCCAATGTTAGTTTTCTACATGTTTGTCCCAATGTTTTCTACATGTTTGTCCCAATGTTAGTTTTCTACATGTTTGTCCCAATGTTAGTTTTCTACATGTTTGTTCCAATGTTAGTTTTCTACATGTTTGTCCCAATGTTAGTTTTCTACATGTTTGTCCCAATGTTAGTTTTCTACATGTTTGTCCCAATGTTTTCTACATGTTTGTCCCAATGTTAGTTTTCTACATGTTTGTCCCAATGTTAGTTTTCTACATGTTTGTTCCAATGTTAGTTTTCTACATGTTTGTCCAAATGTTAGTTTTCTACATGTTTGTCCCAATGTTAGTTTTCTACATGTTTGTCCCAATGTTTTCTACATGTTTGTCCCAATGTTAGTTTTCAACATGTTTGTCCCCATGTTAGTTTTCTACATGTTTGTCCCAATGTTAGTTTTCTACATGTTTGTCCCAATGTTAGTTTTCTACATGTTTGTCCCAATGTTAGTTTTCTACATGTTTGTCCCAATGTTAGTTTTCTGCATGTTTGTCCCAATGTTAGTTTTCTACATGTTTGTCCCCATGTTAGTTTTCTACATGTTTGTCCCTATGTTTTCTGCATGTTTGTCCCAATGTTAGTTTTCTACATGTTTGTCCCAATGTTTTCTACATGTTTGTCCCAATGTTTTCTACATCTTTGTCCCAATGTTAGTTTTCTACATATTTGTCCCAATGTTTTCTACATGTTTGTCCCAATGTTAGTTTTCTACATGTTTGTCCCAATGTTTTCTACATGTTTGTCCCAATGTTTTCTACATGTTTGTCCCAATGTTTTCTACATGTTTGTCCCAATGTTTTCTACATGTTTGTCCCAATGTTTTCTACATGTTTGTCCCAATGTTAGTTTTCTACATGTTTGTCCCAATGTTTTCTACATGTTTGTCCCAATGTTAGTTTTCTACATGTTTGTCCCAATGTTTTCTACATGTTTGTCCCAATGTTAGTTTTCTACATGTTTGTCCCAATGTTTTCTACATGTTTGTCCCAATGTTTTCTACATGTTTGTCCCAATGTTAGTTTTCTACATATTTGTCCCAATGTTAGTTTTCTACATGTTTGTCCCAATGTTAGTTTTCTACATGTTTGTCCCAATGTTAGTTTTCTACATGTTTGTCCCAATGTTAGTTTTCTACATGTTTGTCACAATGTTAGTTTTCTACATGTTTGTCCCAATGTTAGTTTTCTACATGTTTGTCCCAATGTTAGTTTTCTACATGTTTGTCCCAATGTTAGTTTTCTACATGTTTGTCCCAATGTTAGTTTTCTACATGTTTGTCCCAATGTTAGTTTTCTACATGTTTGTCCCAATGTTAGTTTTCTACATGTTTGTCCCAATGTTTTCTACATGTTTGTCCCAATGTTAGTTTTCTACATGTTTGTCCCAATGTTAGTTTTCTACATGTTTGTCCCAATGTTAGTTTTCTACATGTTTGTCCCAATGTTAGTTTTCTACATGTTTGTCCCAATGTTAGTTTTCTACATGTTTGTCCCAATGTTTTCTACATGTTTGTCCCAATGTTAGTTTTCTACATGTTTGTCCCAATGTTAGTTTTCTACATGTTTGTCCCAATGTTAGTTTTCTACATGTTTGTCCCAATGTTAGTTTTCTACATGTTTGTCCCAATGTTAGTTTTCTACATGTTTGTCCCAATGTTAGTTTTCTACATGTTTGTCCCAATGTTAGTTTTCTACATGTTTGTCCCAATGTTAGGTGGCTGCAGTGTCAGGGGATGCTCGTAGAGCGCTGGACATCTGCCGCAGGTCAACAGAAATAGCTGAAGCCAGAGCAGCAGACAGCCAGGGCGGGGTGATGGTGGGGATGTCTGACATCAACACGGCCGTGGAGGAAATGTTTTGTTCACCCAAGTTCATGGCCATCAGGTTTGGTCCTCTTCATTACATAAGTATATGTTTGTATGTTTGTGTGAGGTAGGTCGGTGTTTGTATTGGGTGGGTCAGAGTTTGTATGTTTGTTTGATTGGTCAGGGTTTGTGTTGAGTAGCTCAGGGTTTGTGTTGAGTAGCTCAGGGTTTGTGTTGAGTAGCTCAGGGTTTGTGTTTAGTAGCTCAGGGTTTGTGTTGAGTAGCTCAGGGTTTGTGTTGAGTAGCTCAGGGTTTGTGTTGAGTAGCTCAGGGTTTGTGTTGAGTAGCTCAGGGTTTGTGTTGAGTAGCTCAGGGTTTGTGTTGAGTAGCTCAGGGTTTGTGTTGAGTAGCTCAGGGTTTGTGTTGAGTAGCTCAGGGTTTGTGTTGAGTAGCTCAGGGTTTGTGTTGAGTAGCTCAGGGTTTGTGTTGGGTAGCTCAGGGTTTGTGTTTGGTAGCTCAGGGTTTGTGTTGAGCAGTTGGGTTTGTATGTTTGTGTTAGGTAAAGTATAATGTTCCATTTGAAAATGTGTGTTCCAGGAACTTGTCCATGCAGGAGCAGCTGTTTCTGAGGGCAGTAGTGGCAGAGTTCCAGAGGACTGGCATTGAGGAGGCGGAGTTCTACAAGCTGTATGACCAGCACCAGACTCTCTGCAGGTTTGAAGGTGAGTACAGAAAACTTTGGTGGTCAACAGAAAACTTTGGTGGTCAACAGAAAACTTTGGTGGTCAACAGAAAACTTTGGTGGTCAACAGAAAACTTTGGTGGTCAACAGAAAACTTTGGTGGTCAACAGAAAACTTTGGTGGTCAACAGAAAACTTTGGTGGTCAATAGAAAACTTTGATGGTCAACAGAAAACTTTGGTGGTCAACAGAAAACTTTGGTGGTCAACAGAAAACTTTGGCGGTCAACAGAAAACTTTGGTGGTCAACAGAAAACTTTGGTGGTCAACAGAAAAATTACTTTGGTGGTCTACAGAAAAATTACTTTGGTGGTCAACAGAAAACTTTGGTGGTCAACAGAAAAATTACTTTGGTGGTCAACAGAAAAATTACTTTGGTGGTCAACAGAAAAATTACTTTGGTGGTCAACAGAAAAATTACTTTGGCGGTCAACAGAAAAATTACTTTGGCGGTCAACAGAAAACTTTGGTGGTCAACAGAAAACTTTGGTGGTCAACAGAAAAATTACTTTGGTGGTCAACAGAAAAATTACTTTGGTGGTCAACAGAAAAATTACTTTGGTGGTCAACAGAAAAATTACTTTGGTGGTCAACAGAAAAATTACTTTGGTGGTCAACAGAAAAATTACTTTGGTGGTCAACAGAAAAATTACTTTGGTGGTCAACAGAAAAATTACTTTGGTGGTCAACAGAAAAATTACTTTGGTGGTCAACAGAAAAATTACTTTGGTGGTCAACAGAAAAATTACTTTGGTGGTCAACAGAAAAATTACTTTGGTGGTCAACAGAAAAATTACTTTGGTTGTCAACAGAAAAATTACTTTGGTGGTCAACAGAAAAATTACTTTGGTGGTCAACAGAAAAATGTGGCGGTCAACAGAAAAATTACTTTGGTGGTCAACAGAAAAATTACTTTGGTGGTCAACAGAAAAATTACTTTGGTGGTCAACAGAAAAATTACTTTGGTGGTCAACAGAAAAATTACTTTGGTGGTCAACAGAAAAATTACTTTGGTGGTCAACAGAAAAATTACTTTGGTGGTCAACAGAAAAATTACTTTGGTGGTCAACAGAAAAATTACTTTGGTGGTCAACAGAAAAATTACTTTGGTGGTCAACAGAAAAATTACTTTGGTGGTCAACAGAAAAATTACTTTGGTGGTCAACAGAAAAATTACTTTGGTGGTCAACAGAAAAATTACTTTGGTGGTCAACAGAAAAATTAATTTGGTGGTCAACAGAAAAATTACTTTGGTGGTCAACAGAAAAATGTGGCGGTCAACAGAAAACTTTGGCGGTCAACAGAAAACTTTGGTGGTCAACAGAAAAATTACTTTGGTGGTCAACAGAAAAATTACTTTGGTGGTCAACAGAAAAATTACTTTGGTGGTCAACAGAAAAATTACTTTGGTGGTCAACAGAAAAATTACTTTGGTGGTCAACAGAAAAATTACTTTGGTGGTCAACAGAAAAATTACTTTGGTGGTCAACAGAAAAATTACTTTGGTGGTCAACAGAAAAATTACTTTGGTGGTCAACAGAAAAATTACTTTGGTGGTCAACAGAAAAATTACTTTGGTGGTCAACAGAAAAATTACTTTGGTGGTCAACAGAAAAATTACTTTGGTGGTCAACAGAAAAATTACTTTGGTGGTCAACAGAAAAATTACTTTGGTGGTCAACAGAAAAATTACTTTGGTGGTCAACAGAAAAATTACTTTGGTGGTCAACAGAAAAATTACTTTGGTGGTCAACAGAAAAATTACTTTGGTGGTCAACAGAAAAATTACTTTGGTGGTCAACAGAAAAATTACTTTGGTGGTCAACAGAAAAATTACTTTGGTGGTCAACAGAAAAATTACTTTGGTGGTCAACAGAAAAATTACTTTGGTGGTCAACAGAAAAATTACTTTGGTGGTCAACAGAAAAATTACTTTGGTGGTCAACAGAAAAATTACTTTGGTGGTCAACAGAAAAATTACTTTGGTGGTCAACAGAAAAATTACTTTGGTGGTCAACAGAAAAATTACTTTGGTGGTCAACAGAAAAATTACTTTGGTGGTCAACAGAAAAATTACTTTGGTGGTCAACAGAAAAATTACTTTGGTGGTCAACAGAAAAATTACTTTGGTGGTCAACAGAAAAATTACTTTGGTGGTCAACAGAAAAATTACTTTGGTGGTCAACAGAAAAATTACTTTGGTGGTCAACAGAAAAATTACTTTGGTGGTCAACAGAAAAATTACTTTGGTGGTCAACAGAAAAATTACTTTGGTGGTCAACAGAAAAATTACTTTGGTGGTCAACAGAAAAATTACTTTGGTGGTCAACAGAAAAATTACTTTGGTGGTCAACAGAAAAATTACTTTGGTGGTCAACAGAAAAATTACTTTGGTGGTCAACAGAAAAATTACTTTGGTGGTCAACAGAAAAATTACTTTGGTGGTCAACAGAAAAATTACTTTGGTGGTCAACAGAAAAATTACTTTGGTGGTCAACAGAAAAATTACTTTGGTGGTCAACAGAAAAATTACTTTGGTGGTCAACAGAAAAATTACTTTGGTGGTCAACAGAAAAATTACTTTGGTGGTCAACAGAAAAATTACTTTGGTGGTCAACAGAAAAATTACTTTGGTGGTCAACAGAAAAATTACTTTGGTGGTCAACAGAAAAATTACTTTGGTGGTCAACAGAAAAATTACTTTGGTGGTCAACAGAAAAATTACTTTGGTGGTCAACAGAAAAATTACTTTGGTGGTCAACAGAAAAATTACTTTGGTGGTCAACAGAAAAATTACTTTGGTGGTCAACAGAAAAATTACTTTGGTTGTCAACAGAAAAATTACTTTGGTGGTCAACAGAAAAATTACTTTGGTGGTCAACAGAAAAATTACTTTGGTGGTCAACAGAAAAATTACTTTGGTGGTCAACAGAAAAATTACTTTGGTGGTCAACAGAAAAATTACTTTGGTGGTCAACAGAAAAATTATTTTGGTGGTCAACAGAAAAATTACTTTGGTGGTCAACAGAAAAATTACTTTGGTGGTCAACAGAAAAATTACTTTGGTGGTCAACAGAAAAATTACTTTGGTGGTCAACAGAAAAATTACTTTGGTGGTCAACAGAAAAATTACTTTGGTGGTCAACAGAAAAATTACTTTGGTGGTCAACAGAAAAATTACTTTGGTGGTCAACAGAAAAATTACTTTGGTGGTCAACAGAAAAATTACATTGGTGGTCAACAGAAAAATTACTTTGGTGGTCAACAGAAAAATTACTTTGGTGGTCAACAGAAAAATTACTTTGGTGGTCAACAGAAAAATTACTTTGGTGGTCAACAGAAAAATTACTTTGGTGGTCAACAGAAAAATTACTTTGGTGGTCAACAGAAAAATTACTTTGGTGGTCAACAGAAAAATTACTTTGGTGGTCAACAGAAAAATTACTTTGGTGGTCAACAGAAAAATTACTTTGGTGGTCAACAGAAAAATTACTTTGGTGGTCAACAGAAAAATTACTTTGGTGGTCAACAGAAAAATTACTTTGGTGGTCAACAGAAAACTTTGACCATTACAGAAAATAAAAATGTCCTTCATTAATATGTCTCTAAGCAATAAAACTTAATTAGGTCATGTATGTCAGCTGACCTGTTAAAATCTTGTCTCCCCAGGTGTCCACGCCCCCACCATGACGGAGCTCTCCGCCCTCTGTTACAGGCTGGGCAGCATCCGCCTCCTGCTGGTGGAGCCCGGGAGGCTGGACCTCAGCATGAGGGTCAGGCTCAACGTCAGCCAGGACGACATCATGTACGCCCTCAGGACTGACACGTCACTGACAGATTGAACTGACAGTTGCGTGACTGTCAGGCTCAACGTCAGCCAGGACGACATCATGTACGCCTTGAGGACTGACACGTCACTGACAGATTGAACTGACAGTTGCTTGAGTCGGACCTATTCATAAGTCAGGTCATCAGTCATGTTTTGTGTTATAAAGTCAAATGAAATTCTTGAAGAACCTTCAGATTCTTGTACAGATGTTCTTGCATGTTATATCCTTATTCTCGTATAGAAATGTTCTTGTAAATTGATAGTCAGCATATTAAATGACACATTAACCTAATGATAAAAATGTTACCATAACAATTGTTAAGGTTTCCTAATGTCTTTCTCCACAATTGTTCCATTATCTGTGTTATTTATTCCCTTCCAAAATTGTTGAGTTTGTTTACACATTTCTGAGATTGAATATTTCTGAGATGTGAATATTTCAGCCCCATTTCCCATTGTTGACTTTTGTACATGACCCAGTGTATACCAGGCAGTGGTAGTGGCAGAGGTCTTGCCAGTTTGTCTGTCAGAATACTTGCCAGTTTGTCTGTCAGAATACTTGCCAGTTTGTCTGTCAGAGGTCTTGCCAGTTTGTCTGTCAGAATACTTGCCAGTTTGTCAGAGGTCTTGCCAGTTTGTCAGAGGTCTTGCCAGTTTGTCTGTCAGAGGTCTTGCCAGTTTGTCTGTCAGAGGTCTTGCCAGTTAGTCTGTCAGGGGTCTTGAAAGTATGTCTGTTAGAGGTCTTGCCAGTTTGTCTGTCAGAGGTCTTGTCAGTTTGTCTGTCAGAGGTCTTGCCAGTTTGTCTGTCAGAGGTCTTGCCAGTTTGTCTGTTAGAGGTCTTGCCAGTTTGTCTGTCAGAGGTCTTGCCAGTTTGTCTGTCAGAGGTCTTGCCAGTTTGTCTGTCAGAGGTCTTGCCAGTTTGTCTGTCAGGGGTCTTGCCAGTTTGTCTGTCAGGGGTCTTGCCAGTTTGTCTGTTAGAGGTCTTGCCAGTTTGTCAGAAAACTTGCCAGTTTGTCTGCTGTGTGAAATCTTTTTGTCAGTTTCTTCTTAAAGATTGTGTAAGTTTATCATCCGTGTGAAAGATCTGTGCGATTTGTAGATTAAAATAGTTGTGCATTCCACTGTAATCAGCTCAAATTAGGAACATTTTAATGAAGTCAATGACTGTCTCATTGTGTGATTGTCTTGATTCAGTTTGTATTTCTTACTTGGGTCAATTGTTTTTCTATTAATAACTTTAGGAGTTGATGTCACGTGTTAAAATTTAAACATGTTAATGCAAAATAAAATAAAAAACTAAATTTGAAGTTTTAACTTTGTCTTTATGGAGTGGATATCCCGGGTCAAAACATTGTTAGGTGATTTTACTAGGCAACAGCTGAATTTAAAAAGAAAAACAAAACACTCAAAATGTGACGGACAACTTTACTTTACATACATAATCCATGTGTACATAATACAGTCACCCACACCAAACGACTCAGCTGGGGGGGGGGGGCATCTTTTAAAACATTGTTAAAACAAGCATAACAAATATACCTAGTCATTTAATTTCCAAGTATAATGGGGGGGGGGGGGCGACCAGCATGAATACATCTGACATGGTGGGGGGGGGGGGGTCATCAAAGCCTTTCACAATTGGTTCACCACTACTGTAAACAAAACAGCCTCTAACAAAACATCACGTGGGCTGACGTGTGTATCAGTGGGCACATTTTGAACCTCCTTTAACCTGAGGCGTAGCGAGGGTGGTACGGCTGACTCAAGGGGAGCGCCAAACGGAAAGAAATTGTTTTTTGATAAAAAGCTCCTTCTGAGCTGCATTGCTGAGTTCTCCATAACCGAGATTAAGAAAACAGGCTGCTGCTACTGGCTTTGTGGACGTATTTCAATGTTTTTTTTTACCTCTAATGTGTGACACCAAAAATACGGTAGTGACTGGTAAAAAAAAACGCCAAAACTTTCAAAATGGGGGGGGGGGGGGGCGCTTTTTTTTTTTACCAACGTTTACATCTTTATTTATAGTTGTTTGTGTCAATATATCCAATGTTTGAATAACTAGACCGTTGGTTATTTTATCAAGCCTCTGGTCTTCTGAAAGCACATCATAGTTTTTTTAACATCTACACTGGACAAATGAGGGAACAGGGACGACAACTCTGAACTCAAATCTTCAGCGCTGGAGAGGCTAGTGAGTTGTTCCGGCTGAAGGTCGCGAAACTCGTCCTTGACACGACCTAGTCCTGAACTCTGCAACTCTTCCAAAAGTTTTTGTTTGTAAAGTGAGGCGTCTGCTGGTTTTCCCGCCCAAGAAGTTTTTAACATGGCGGTGTTTCGGGGCGGGAGTTTAGGCCGTATGGTACCGTGTGGCTTGGGTGGGGGGAGAGGGATGCCATGTGGTTTGGGTGGTGGGGGTGTGCTACTTGGCGATGGGGGGCTGGGCAGCGAGAGTTTCTCCAGCTCAGATGACGGAGATTCCTGCAAGGAAAAGTCCGTGGTCGAGGTGCTAGGGCTGGGCTGACGGCTCGTCTGATGTTCGTCCTGCATGTGTTCGTAGTGGCAGCTCTCGTCGTCTGCACCGGTCAAGTTCTCGTTCTCGTCCCTGAGCATCTCCTCGCTGACGTACACGCCGCTGTCCACGGCTTCCGGCCGGTACGGCGTCTTCCGGAAGGTCACATCCGGGTCAATCGCTTTCCCGGGCTTGACGTAACCGCCGTCATCCACTGGCAGCCGGAGTGGCGTTTTCTGCGCGGTAACATCCGGGTTGGTCAGTTTTCCAGCTTTAACGTAGCCGCTGTCTGATTGGTCCCCTTCAGAAAAAAGAATGATTGGCTGCTCGTAGTACGGCTGGCCCCGGGCGAGCGAGTCGCCGAGTTTGGGAATATCGTACGGTCGCTCGTCTGCTGCTGGGGTGTCCTCGACCCTCCGCAGCACGTGCCCGCCCATGTTGACGTAATCCCGCGCGGGGAGCTGGTGGAAGCTGCCCCCTGCTCGTTTATGTGGGAGGTGGGGCGCCGGGGGCGGTGGGTTGGTCGATAGGTCGGTGCAGGAGAAACTTTGTTGGGACATTAATAACGGCTTCTCCACACGGATCTGTCGCTGGGGGATGGATGGTCGATGGTCGTCAGATGGTCGCTCACGAACGGAGCCGGTGAAAGGAAACACGCCATCTTCTTTATATTTAGGCGATACCAAGTACCCCGGATCTGACGGGGTGGGCGATGTCCACCCAGAAGGCGATGGCCGCCCAGATTTGTATTCTATGCTGATGGTGGAGGTGGCCCGCTCAGTATCGCTGGTCCAAATCCCGATGTAATCTGTGCTAGGGTTGCGCCTGTCCACTTTCTCCTGAGTCGGAATGTCGATCTCTTCATACGGGTTGGGTTTTGGTGCCTTGACTGGCGTGTTTACCTGGGCTGGGGGCGCCACGGTGATTGGTATTGTGGTCGCCTGCTTGGGCGGATCGTACTGGTTGAAGGGCGCCATGTTGGACTCAATGTCCGGCAGTTTGTTGGGCTTTTGTCTCCCCCCTCTAGCGGACTGGAGGGGGTCATCGATTTCAATGTCCGTGATGGTGAGTTGGGTGGACAACTCTTTGAACGAACGCGATTTAGTGCTGGCATTCTTGCGCCATTGTCTCCCTTGATCGCCGCTAGGTGTCGCGCCACTGGGTGACGACTGAGCGGAAGTCGGCAGTTCGCCATCGACAGATTTCACCAATGTCTGGTCTTCATTGCTGTCAAAATTTGGATCTCCGACAACCACCTGTCGGCGGGAAACAAACAAAATTTTATATTTCTATTCATTACATTCCTATTCATTACATTCCTATTCATTACATTCCTATTCATTACATTCCTATTCATTACATTCCTATTCATTACATTCCTATTCATTACATTCCTATTCATTACATTCCTATTCATTACATTCCTATTCATTACATTCCTATTCATTACATTCCTATTCATTACATTCCTATTCATTACATTACTATTCATTACATTCCTATTCATTACATTCCTATTCATTACATTCCTATTCATTACATTCCTATTCATTACATTCCTATTCATTACATTCCTATTCATTACATTCCTATTCATTACATTACTATTCATTACATTCCTATTCATTACATTCCTATTCATTACATTCCTATTCATTACATTCCTATTCATTACATTCCTATTCATTACATTCCTATTCATTACATTCCTATTCATTACATTCCTATTCATTACATTCCTATACATTACATTCCTATTCATTACATTCCTATTCATTACATTCCTATTCATTACATTCCTATTCATTACATTCCTATTCATTACATTCCTATTCATTACATTCCTATTCATTACATTCCTATTCATTACATTCCTATTCATTACATTCCTATTCATTACATTCCTATTCATTACATTCCTATTCATTACATTCCTATTCATTACATTCCTATTCATTACATTCCTATTCATTACATTCCTATTCATTACATTCCTATTCATTACATTCCTATTCATTACATTCCTATTCATTACATTCCTATTCATTACATTCCTATTCATTACATTCCTATTCATTACATTCCTATTCATTACATTCCTATACATTACATTCCTATTCATTACATTCCTATTCATTACATTCCTATTCATTACATTCCTATTCATTACATTCCTATTCATTACATTCCTATTCATTACATTCCTATTCATTACATTCCTATTCATTACATTCCTATTCATTACATTCCTATTCATTACATTCCTATTCATTACAATCTCATTAAATTTGGCTTGAAATGTCTATACAATCATACTAGGTTTTAAAAAAAAAAGACGAGATAAAATTATAGTTACATTTTAAAAGCTTAAAGCTGTTTGGGAACCATCGATTACAATCATTATCATATTTTTGTATTGAATATAAGCCGTCGAAAAGCCGTTTAGAATTATTTTATCAATTCTTATATTTAAAAAAAACCGCCTTAACCTTTGAAGTCAACCGGAATGGCCAGGGAGAGTAAAACAATGAAAGTCACATCAAATGTTTTCCATGATAAAATACGCAATAGTGGTCAGGGGTGTATAGCGTAGTATCGTAGTTAGATCACCACAACACCCTGACTATTAATCAAAATGAAAACTAAAAGTGTTAGCTAAATTACTATTATATTACTAGTAATTATTTGATTGAATATTTCTAGCCTTAATAAAACCGGAAGTCATTTTGTACTTATTATACAAATGTTATAAAATATTCAATTTCGGTTGAAAAATGTGGTTTCTGGCAACAAACATTTGGAACCAGCTTTTCAAGAGTAGCCTACACAATTTTTTTATTGAAAAAGATTACAGTGACTTTTATGCATAATGACGTATCATGTAAAGATCACAACGTCCTAAAGTTGATACTAGCGATACTCAACAAGATGTAAACATGCATGCCTTAAGGCTTAGAGAAAGGAGTGAGTAGAGAAATGACCCTGACCTTCATGTTCCTCATGTAAGCCGGGGCGTTGATCTCAATGGACTTGAGGGCGTTGACGTAAACTTTGCTCCCAAGCAGCCCGGGGTTGTGGGTCACCACGTGAAACATCATGTCTGACCCTGGGGACGAGATGACGCACCTGATACATTGGACTGGCCACATCCCTACCCTAGAGCCACATCCCCCACCCTAGAGCCACATCCCCACCCCCTATACTGTAGCTACATCCCCACCCCCTAGACTGTAGTCACATCCCCACCCCATTGTGTGTAGTCCCATCCCCACCACCTAGACTGTAGTCACATCCCCATCCTAGACTGTAGTCACATCCCCACCCCCTAGACTGTAGTCACATCCCCACCCCCTAGGCTGTAGTCACATCCCCACCCTAGACTGTAGTCACATCCCCACCCCCTAGGCTGTAGTCACATCCCCACCCCCTATACTGTAGCTACATCCCCACCCCCTAGACTGTAGTCACATCCCCACCCCCTTGTGTGTAGTCCCATCCCCACCCCCTAGACTGTAGTCTCATCCCCACCCCCCTAGACAGTAGTCCCACCCCCAATACTGTAGTCCCATCCCCCACCCCCTAGACACCCATTACAATGGATGTCGTCACGTGACATGAACTGACCAACGGGTATCTCCAGATTGATGTTGTGCACGTTGAAGATGGTGGAGGCGATGACGGTGTGGCTCATGCCGGAGTCTGTCAAGATGAGGGCTCCGGTGAAGGCGCAGGGGATGGTGGGGATCCGCCCGTACAGGAGCTTGACGATCACGGGGAACTTGTACCTGCAACATGGGCGCTTAGGTCAGCTGGTGTGGTGGGCAAACATGTTTTTTTAATGTGTCGTAACATTTATGGTCAGCTGGGTGTAATGGGCAAACATGTTTTTTTAATGTGTCGAAACATTTTAAAATACATAACACAATATTAAGTTAGCCGCCATTTGCTAGTAATTCGTCAAGTTAGCGTATTTCAATGAAATGTGACACGCCAAGCGCTTGAGAAGGTGAAGGAGAGGGCGCCCAAGACAGACCTGGTGACGGAGTATTTTTGAATAACTGAAGACAGCAGGGATGTCTTGGGGAGCTGCAAAATCAACAGCCGGGGACCGGACAAATTGGAAGAGTATGGTTGAGGCCCTACACTTTACATATTGAAAAAGTATGGTTGAGACCCTAGGCTCCGCAAGGAGTAAAGAGGATAGAGTTAAGTACTGGTTTTACGGTGTCAAAACCGTTTGTTTTTCTTTCTTTCAAATCTTCCGGTCACTGCGAGATTATCAAGACGTGTTAGCAAAGTTTACAGGAAGACACAGACAGCGAGGCCACAACATAAACAAACCGTATCAAAATTTGGGAGATATTTAACATGGGTAATTTGCGTGGCATCCTTGTTCATGAGGCGACAAAGAAAATAAAGCGGAGTTATCTGCCCTAAACTTTCTTGTATCTTCTTTCACTGCAGTAAGAGGGATGGCACTTTCTGATGGCCTTTGGGAAATTGGAATTGGGGCCTATATGAAATTTCGCAAACTGAAACGTTACTCAAGTTATCGTGTTTACATACACATAGACGAACAAAGAAAATTGCAAGACTTAGTTTTCCGGCTACGGTGGGTTGTAAAACGTCAAAAGTTGTCAAAAATCTGGTGTCAAAATAATTTTATTCAATAACTTAACGATTACAAAACTTTCTCAACTCTGTATACCAGAAAGTCGAAAAAAACCAACCTTGTCAAAATTTGCGAGATATTTAAGATAGGTAATTTGCAGGGCATGCCTGTTTGCGAGACGATGAAGAAGGCGCCATCTTGGCGTGTAGGTACGTAGATCTCTCTATCGTACTCGTCGAAACACAGCATGAACATTTCATCGGGCGCCTGCTCCTTCTTCTTCTTTTTCTTCTTCAAATCTTTCAGTGTGTTTAAAACGTAGTTGCCTCCCTTTCTCAGGACAGTCCCGGGCAGAATCTGCATGCGGGTATTTTGTTTGGTCACGTCCCGTCGGTCCATCTGGGGGAGACAAACATGTTTGTATCGGTGAATTTTGTAGAGAAACAAACTCAGTAGCCCCGTGCTGGGGTTCGTTACCCAGCACATACTTGATTTAACCAGAGAACTAACTGGCATATTACAGCCGATCCTAGCAGCCTAGACAACCCTGTATGCTAATATAATGTACAACAGGTGTTTTGTTCCCCCCCCCCTCTACCAAGTAATAATTACATAACGTCTACCAAAATGACCTACTATAATGCCTTCAATAGACCTGTTGCCGCCCACCCAAATGACCTACCAAGATGTCTTCAATAGGTCTATTGCCGCCCACCAAAAAGACCTACCAAGATGCCCTCAATAGACCTGTTGCCACCCACCAAAATGACCTACCAAGATGCCTTCAATAGACCTGTTACCGCCCACCAAAATGACCTACCAAGATACCTTCAATAGACCTATTGCCGCCCATCAAAATGACCTACCAAGATGCCTTCAATAGACCTGTTTCCGCCCACCAAAATGACCTACCAAGATGCCTTCAATAGACCTGTTGCCGCCCACCAAAATAACCTACCAAGATGCCTTCAATAGACCTGTTACCGCCCTCCAAAATGACCTACCAAGATGCCTTCAATGGGTCTATTGCCGCCCACCAAAATGACCTACATTGCCGCCCACCAAAATGACCTACCAATATGCCTTCAATAGACCTGTTGCCGCCCACCAAAATGACTTACCAAGATGCCTTCAATAGACCTGTTGCCGCCCATCAAAATGACCTACCAAGATAATAGACCTGTTGCCGCCCACCAAAATGACCTACCAATATGCCTTCAATAGACCTGTTACCGCCCATCAAAATGACCTACCAAGATGCCTTCAATAGACCTGTTACCGCCCACCAAAATGACCTACCAAGATGCCTTCAATAGACCTGTTGCCGCCCACCAAAATGACCTACCAAGATGCTTTCAATAGACCTGTTGCCGCCCATCAAAATTACCTACCAAGATGCCTTCAATAGACCTGTTGCCGCCCACCAAAATGACCTACCAAGATGCTTTCAATAGACCTGTTGCCGCCCATCAAAATGACCTACCAAGATGCCTTCAATAGACCTGTTGCCGCCCACCAAAATGACATACCAAGATGCCTTCAATAGACCTGTTGCCGCCCACCAAAATGACCTACCACGATGCCTTCAATAGACCTGTTGCCGCCCACCAAAATGACCTACCACGATGCCTTCAATAGACCTGTTGCCGCCCACCAAAATGACCTACCACGATGCCTTCAATAAACCAGTTACCGCCCACCAAAATGACCTACCACGATGCCTTCAATAGACCTGTTGCCGCCCATCAAAATTACCTACCAAGATGCCTTCAATAGACCTGTTGCCGCCCACCAAAATGACCTACCAAGATGCTTTCAATAGACCTGTTGCCGCCCATCAAAATGACCTACCAAGATGCCTTCAATAGACCTGTTTCCGCCCACCAAAATGACATACCAAGATGCCTTCAATAGACCTGTTGCTGCCCACCAAAATGACCTACCACGATGCCTTCAATAGACCTGTTGCCGCCCACCAAAATGACCTACCACGATGCCTTCAATAGACCTGTTGCCGCCCACCAAAATGACCTACCACGATGCCTTCAATAAACCAGTTACCGCCCACCAAAATGACCTACCACGATGCCTTCAATAGACCTGTTGCCGCCCACCAAAATGACCTACATCGCCGCCCACCAAAATGACCTACCAAGATGCCTTCAATAGACCTGTTGCCGCCCACCAAGAACGAGGTGCACTTTGAGGTGGCCAGGTACGAGAGATTTCTGTAGAACGGAACGGTCGGGTCAGATTTGACGGTGGCCGCTGGTCCCAGCACAGCAAACCAGCCTGTGGGAGAGATGGTTATATGATCAGTGTGGGGAGATGGTCAGTGTGTGGAGATGGTTATATGGTCAGTGTGGGGGGGTGGTCAGTGTGGGGAGATGGTTATATGGTCAGTGTGGGGAGATGGTTAGTGTGGGGAGATGGTCAGTGGGGGGAGATGGTTAGTGTGGGGAGATGGTCAGTGTGGGGAGATGGTCAGTGTGGGGAGATGGTCAGTGTGGGGAGATGGTCAGTGTGGGGAGATGGTCAGTGTGGGGGGTGGTCAGTGTGGGGAGATGGTTATATGGTCAGTGTGGGGAGATGGTTAGTGTGGGGAGATGGTTAGTGTGGGGAGATGGTTAGTGTGGGGAGATGGTTAGTGTGGGGAGATGGTCAGTGTGGGGAGATGGTCAGTGTGAGGAGATGTTCAAATGGTCAGTGTGGTGAGTCATGGTCAATTTTGGGTGAGATTCCCCCCTGTTCAGTTGTATATGAAAATCTTAGTGTAAGAAAAGGAAGTTGCCCATGTAAGTGTAGGAAAGAGAAGTTACCCGTGTAAGTGTATTAAAGGGAAGTTGCCCATGTAAGTGTAGGAAAGGGAAGTTACCCAGGTAAGTGTAGGAAAGGGAAGTTACCCAGTTTATTGTATCAAAGGGAAGTTACCCAGTTAATTGTATCAAAGGGAAGTTACCCAGGTAAGTTTCAGGAATCAACAGTTCGTCACCGACGGGAGTAAACTCGTTCTGGCTCTGGTCAAAGATGGCGCTGACCGCTGCGACCTTCCGGACGGAGTTCCTGCAGAAGGCGAGCAGTGGCTGGGTGAAGTCTAGGTTGGCGCCCAGGGGGATGTACTCCCTGCTGCACTGGATCACCCTGGCAACGGGTAAACAAACGTGTCAGTTCATGTTGAAGTGTATCATAAATTTACCTAGAACCTTGACCTGACGTACATGGACCTTTGACCTGACGTACAGGGACCTTAGACCTGACGTACAGGGACCTTTGACCTGACGTACAGGGACCTTTGACCCTACGTACAGGGACCTTTGACCCTACGTACAGGGACCTTTGACTATACGTACAGGGACCTTTGACCCTACGTACAGGGACCTTTGACCCTACGTACAGGGACCTTTGATCTGACGTACAGGGACCTTTGACCCTACGTACAGGGACTTTTGACCCTACGTACAGGGACCTTTGACCCTACGTACAGGGACCTTTGACCTGACGTACAGGGACCTTTGACCTGACGTACAGGGACCTTTGACCTGACGTACATGGACCTTTGACCTGATGTACATGGACCTTTGACCCTACGTACAGGGACCTTTGACCCTACGTACATGGACCTTTGACCTGACGTACAGGGACCTTTGACCTGACGTACAGGGACCTTTGACCTGACGTACATGGACCTTTGACCTGATGTACATGGACCTTTGACCCTACGTACAGGGACCTTTGACCCTACGTACATGGACCTTTGACCTGACGTACATGGACCTTTGACCTGACGTACAGGGACCTTTGAACTGACATACAGGGACCTTAGACCTGACGTACAGGGACCTTTGACCTGACAACTACTGAACTTTGACCTGAAAACCATTGAACTTTGACCTGCCGTACAGAGACCTTTGACCTGGTATACAAAGACCTTTTGACCGACCAGACTCATGTCTTACCTGGGTAGCGCCAACTTCTGTAGAATCTGTGTCATGGTCATGGGGTCAGGGTCGACCTCTAGCTGAGGTTTGACCACCTTGATCAGCTTGTCTGGCGGCTCAGATGGCGGCCGCTTCTTGGTGAACATGGCGGTGGCTGCTGGGGTCGGGTCACTTCATCTGGTGGTTGCTGGTGTGAGGTCACTTCATCTGGTGGCTTCTGGTGTGAGGTCACTTCATCTGGTGGTTGCTGGTGTGAGGTCACTTCATCTGGTGGCTTCTGGTGTGAGGTCACTTCATCTGGTGGTTGCTGATGTCTGTTCACTTCATCTGGTGGTTGTTCGTGTTTGGTGGCTGTTGGCGTCCGTTGGTTGCTGGTGTGAGGTCACTTCATGCTTCTCGCCACTACCGCGCTATCTCAACGAGCGCCTGACTGTTGTGAGAAGCTTCACATGAAGATTTGTTTGCCACTATTTACGTCTTCATCTCTGTTGAAAATACATGAAAAAAATTACAAGTTTTCAAAAATATTAAAATAGCTCCATTTAACATGGACTTAGATCTATAGAAGTCTTAGCCGGCTCACAGAAATAAAGTTTGCTTAAGCCACACTAGACATAAATTATTTTCGTCATGGGAGAGCGGTTACGGCTGACTCTAGACTTCTAGTGGTGTTATTTTATCCCTTTCTCCCTGGTTGCGCTATTTTATCCCATTCTATCCCTAGCCCCACCCCCTTTCTTATCAGTTGACTCTACAGCCCCCAACCCAACAGCTTTTAAGTAATGACAATCAATTAATTTATGCGACCCTTGAAAAAAATAAAGCGGGAGTGATCTCCCTAAACTTTCTTGTATAATACATAAATCGCATATAAAAAAAAATTACGCACCAAATCAGAGGCGTAGCGACCCTTCCCGGCGCCCGGGGACAAACTTTTCGATTTGCACCCCCCCCCCCATCAAGATTTCGATTTGCATCCCCCCCTCAAGCTTTCGATTTGCACCCCCCTCAAGATTTTGATTTGCACCCCCCGCCCTCAAACTCTCAATTTGCACTCCCCTCAACCTATCAAATTTATTTTTCGAACCCATTTTGGCGCCCCCTAAGGTCGGCGCCCGGGGACATAGCCCCCCCCCCCCCTCGCTACGCTACTGCACCAAATGACCGCAAAGTGTGTAATAAAGCAGAAAATTAGTACTTTATATAGTAAATATTGGTTCATTTTTTAAAGGGTTAATTAAAGATATAATTAAATCACAAAATATTTCCATCATATCTTGACCTGCTTGAAAGGTTTGAAAGAAATCGATCCGTTAGGACTGGTCAAAATTTTATGGCAAGTTTACCTCCACGACGGAGATAAATTCTCATGGCTTGTTTGAGAAATCAGAAATAGCGTAAGTTTACCTGCGATCAACAAAAAAACACCCAACATTTGATAGAAACCAGTGAATAAGTGTATGAAATTTCGTCCACCTACCAGAAACGGTACTCATGTCATCGGTATTTTAGAAGCCAGAAATAGAGTAAAGTACATCTTCCGGATATCGGAGGTCACTCAAAAATTGAAAGTGATCCAAGTATAAGATCTATTACTTATTAACGAAATTTTGTTTACCAGCATTAAGATATCGTGTTCCCAAGAAATAAAGTTTCACTTACGGTTATCGGAAATAGTTTGAAAGAAACCTGCACATACAATTTATTATTTGTATGAGAAGTTTTGTCCATCTAACTTAAATGGTACTCAAGTTTTTGGCTTTTGAGAAACCGGAAGAAACCGCTCACGAGAAGGTAAAAATGACCACACTATTTACCAGCTTTTATTTCGTTCGCAATCTGTTTATTTGTTTGTTTTTGGCATATCTTGGGACTCAGTTTTGACCCACTTCTAATGCAGCGATTTTGTTCAAACTCTCGAGATACGTTCCACGTTGATGACAATACATAATTTTAAAATTTAATTAGATGTTTCATTAGTCATTAAAAATTAATTAAACAGCTTCGGAACTAAGGGGAGATAACAAAATCAAATCACTCGATAGATTACTATATTTAATAACTGAAAGGGAGATAATTAGTTAAAAACGCGAACACCCTAACAATGTGATGAGCTGTGGTTCACGAGAATGTTTACAATCAGGATGGATGAGGTGCGACAGGAAGCCAAAGTCTTTAATAATAAGGTTTCTTTCAGACATTTTTTTCCGTGGGAGGGGGAGCAAGCTTTCAGGGACAGGCGCGATATCATTTTTTTTTGAAGGGCTAAGATGCTGGTTTCTTTTTACATTTCTTCCGTAACGTAGTCCTACCAACAGCATTGAGTATTTCCTCAAGGCCGAGATCAGCCGGCCTTGACCCTGACCCCCATCTTGTCGCTCTATGTCGGTCGACAGCTGATTTCACGCGCCGCTAAATTAGGACTAATTTTAAAAAAATTAATTGCAGAATTCACCTAGCTCTGATGGGCACATAAAACCTGACTAAAGTTAGGGAAAGTAAAGGTGGATGGGCATAGTGCTGACCACACTACCCCATTTGTCTAGGTCACAGAAACAGGTGAACTCTACTTCACTGGCCCCATGGACCCTAAGGTCCGAAAAGGGAACTTTCTTTAATAAACGTTATTATTTATAACGTATGCCAAATATAATTACCATACCGTATGTGTTATAGTTAATGTTAGGAGCACAGCAATAATAATCAGCTCGTATGTTATGTTATGTAGGCTACGTGTAATTAAAAATGTTTATTTTAAAAAAATACCATTCACCGTTTCAACTTAAAAATAGTGCTTGATAACCCGAAACATCAAAGCGCCCCCACTACCCACGATTTTAAACCCCACTTCCCGCCCCCCCCCCCTCCCAAAACACACAGTTAAATATGAAACGTCATGCCTAGGAATTTGTCAACGACATTTTTTTCTCACAGCTATCATTGCCTTTCAGAAAGTTCGACAACTCTTCAATCATATGTGGATCAGGTAATGTTAGGTCGTCTGAACAGGTATTTGCCCCCCAAACTCTCACCACCCCCCCCCCCCCCCCCCGCCATGGTTACAGCATCGGCTTCACTGAAGCGTGTCACGCAGCTTTTGTACGCTGGTGCCCTGATTCAATGGATCGCCTATTGCTACGTCATGGGGTTACTGTAATACAGGACACGTTTATAGGACGAGAAATAGGACAATTTACAGGACACAGGACAGCCTAGTGGGACACACCAGGACAAAGGACAACATCATAGGACACAGTTATATCAGGACATATGACAGCTTACTAGAACAACTTTCTAAGACACAGAATAACTTACCATGAGACGAAAGACATATTGTAACTAGAACAACTGACTAGGGCATAGGACAAATGACTGTAACAACTGACTAGAATATATGACTAGAATATAACTGACTAGGACACAGGACAGTTTTCTATAACAACTGGCTAGAACACAGGACAGCTTTCTATAACAACTAGCTAGGACAAAGGACAACATATCAGGTCAGGACTACACCAGGAAGAACCAAACCCGCTCATCCGAATCCGGTAAAAATTTTCAGCTGTTATAAATAACTTGTACATCAGCAGTTGATATTTTTGTCCTATTGTTCGTACATCAACATACACCATCAGACCTGACAGGATCAAAACTTCCTCATTCTCTGGTAGTTCAGCTCATATGTTGCAGTTCACCATCAAGTGACGCTTAGTTCGTCGTGTCTTTTCGGAGGCGATTCGACGAGGGGTGTGTGGGAGGGGGGTACATATGTCCCCGGGCGCCCACCTTAGGGGCGCCAGAATCGGTTGGAAAAGCTCATATAAGCGGCAGTTTTGAATTATGAATATAAAAATATATGGGGGGGGGGGGGGGGGGGGGGCGCCACATTGAAAGTTTGTCCCCGGGCGCCGGGAGGAGTCGCTACGCCTCAGTGTCTCTCTCAGAAATCATCAGAGGCGTAGCGAGGGGGGGGGGGAAACAAATTGAAAGTTTGAGGGGGAGGTGCAAATCAAAAGTTCGAGGGGTGGGGTGCAAATCGAAAGTATGTCCCCGGGCGTCGGGAAGGGTCGCTACGCCTCTGGAAATTATCAGTAAGAAAATCGAACGGAGAATCTGTTTCGGTTTAAGGTGACCGCCCACCTAAAAAAAAAAATTCTTCGTCCCATTCACAGTACAAGGATCGCTCAAGTTCCGGGTTGTGTTATTGTCATAGTGAATTATCTGCCCCTGTTGACAGAAGCGTTCAATAGCTGTAGGGTCATAGCAAAACATCTTACGTAGTCTTGCTGGATGGTTGTGTTGGATGATTGTGTTGGATGATTGTGTTGGATGATTGTGTTGGATGATTGTGTAAGCTACCATGAGGTGTGGGCTTACCGGATGATTGTTCTATATACAATCAGGTGATTGTATTTAAAACAAGCATCAATCCAAGACATAAAATGACATAGTTGAAGATGGAATAGACCATTCTACCACCCTGATGTAGTCTGATTGTCTATACTGAGTTGTAAATTGTCGAATAAAAAGCTTACCTGTAATATTCAATATAGATAGGTTTTATGTAATCTGTATATGTAGATAGGCTCTATGAAGCTATGTAAAGTATGTACACTCTTATCTATAGAACATGTACACACTTATCTATAGAGGATGTACACACATATTTATAACATTATAATGTGCACAATAATTTATAGAAAATGTACACATTTATTTATAGAAAATGTATATACTTATCTATAGAGGATGTACACACATTTATAAAATATAATGTACACACTTATTTATAGAAAATGTACACACTTATTTAAAGAGGATGTATACACGTATCTATACAACATGTGCATACGCATCTATGTATTATGACATAATGGCGATTCTCTTTGACTCTATAAAACTTTTTGTATATCCCCACTCCCCCTTTACAGCCCCCCACATACACACACACATTCAACTTCAAGAACTTGCTAGTAACGAAAATAATTCGATTCTATGAATGAATGCTTTTTCTCACGGTCGATGGATGTAGCCACATCCTATTTTACCTTCTAACAATACTGACAATAGTTTGTGTGTGAAATCTTTAATTATATATTTCTAATCAAGGTAATTAAATAACGTGTGAGGGAAATCTTTAATCATAATTTTCTAATCAAATTAAATTTCTATATCCAATTTTCAGAATGTCTAAAGTAATTCACCCTCAAGAAAACAAAGTTAAAGAATATGGTTAATTAATTAATTAATCGAACAAATGTACTACGACACTGACTGATACAATTTAATTACCTCCGTCGGGCAACCTTGAGAAAATGAACTTTTGTTAGTCCTTAGGAAATCTTCTTTTGTTGAAGTTTAGGAAATTATCTTAAGTTAATCTTTAGAAAATCAACTTTTGTTGCTCTTACCTTCTATCGTCTGCTGGTTGCATGAACTTCCGGTGTGTGGGTCAGGGCGCCAAAAGAATGCACGTTAATGTAAG